GCCCAGCTTGTGCCAACCTAGCAGTTCGAAAACATGCAAGTGTGAGTAGATCAATAGGTATTGCTTCTGCAGGAAGTTAACAATGTTCCAGGCAGTCATACTGGCCACATGACCTAGGAGGTATCTATGGATAACGCCGGCTCTTCAGCTTAGAATGGAGATGAGCACCACCCCCCAGAGTCGGACGTGACTAGATTTAATGTCAAAGGAAACCTTTACCTTTACATAATATTTTAGATAAGAGATACTCAGTCCATATTTGTATACTGAAGGTTGCTCTACATTCGAATTAATGTAGTTTGCCACCACTTGAACCGTCACAGGAGTTTTACTTGGTCTTTAGCCTTCTCGGCCAAAGAGTGCTGGTACCTCTTCAAACTACAGCCCCCAGGATTCCATACCATCGAGCTGTGGCAGTTAAAGTGGTGTCAAACCACATTAATCCTGCAGTGTAGATGTGCCATAGATGTTTGTTTAATAAAGTGTATTGAGTCCCAGACTTGGAAAACGTGAAGATATTCATCGTCATCATGATCAATATCATCATCATTTTATTAAAATAAGCCATTAAAATGAAATCTTGATTAAAAACCTTTAATCAGCTTGTCTAAATCTTATGGCCTTCTCCTCTGTTGCTATAGAGGGCAGACTACAAACATCTGGGGATCGAAATGGGCATGCCTTGTCTGAGGAGGCAAGCCACCCCCATTTCCTTTCATTTAAAATGTGAGAAGCAGTGCTATAGCTCTCTCTTAGGTTCTCCCAGGATGGACTAAGCTCTCTTCTCAGAGAAGTACTGTAAGTGGCTCCTTTTTTTATAAGAGTTCTGGTATAGTACTTAACATTGACCCATTGATAAGTCCACCTTGTTTTTTGGAGGCTGGTTTATTGACTAAAATTTCTAGACTCATCCATGAGTATATGCAGCATGTGTATTTCTTTGCTAGGTTCCCACCTCATGTAATGGGCTGATAGTATACAGCTTAACCCAGATGTCTTACTGCATTAGTGCTATTCAGTTCTTAAGGTCAGGCCAACTAACGCTATGCATTATGGCACAGGGTACAATTGCAGAAATTGACTTCACGGTATGGCGTTGACAGATACTGTACTTTTGCAAAACAAATGCTCAACTCTTCTGAGGCATCTGCACAGAAAATCATGCCATTTAGTTCCCTGGTTTTGAACTGTGCTATAGTGTGGTTAAAATAAGTTAAAACTGCTTCTAGAAATAATAGTGTTTATGTGTGTAAATTCACATACTCTGTAGAGAAAACTCCTAGCTCTGAAAATGTTCTGATATGCCTGATTTGACATTTAATGAAATGTTCTCAGTGAGCCCATTGTGGCATATTTAACACCTCTATAAATGCTGCCTGTCCTTGCCAACGTTTTTTTATTCCAAGGAGATTTATTTTGGCATCTTAAACCAGAAATACAACAAGTTTAAAATAAAGCTCAGTGTGTTGAAAATACATTTCGAAATGAAGAAAGAGCATATGGTAATTTGAGTGCTCCCTTCTGTTCCTTGGAAGTCTTGGGTGTCTAGATTTGGGACAGAAGAAGATCGTTTCGTGTCTGGGGGCGGAAGAGCTACAGTGTCGCTTGTGTGGCTTCCCAGTGAGAAGTGAGAAGTCCATGGAACCTCTGATCTATGTTAATCTAGTCAAGTAAATGTACAATTATATTTATAGGGAAAAGAAACTATGCCCAGAGTTGCTTCATACATTATGGTTAATACCTGAACGGTTTTGGAGAATGTAGTAAAATTAGTGGGAAAAGCAATATGTTCTGTTTATATTAAAATGTCTGTATTCATCACATTTACTGATATAATAAAAAGAGTACCGTATATTCGTTTCAAATTTTACATACATTACTAACCTAAAACTTGTAATCAAGATGAAAATTTCATCTATGAGTTTGTTCTTTATTCCTTTGTTTATCCAATTTTGAGCTTGGGAGGGAAGGAAGCGGCTGGTGTTTCTCACCCATCCACTCACTGAAAAGCATTTAGGAAGTTGCAAATACATGTGGGGGACATATAGGGTGCATAATGTTTCTTTGGGTGCTATGTAAAAAATAAAAGGAGCAAGAGGGTGTGATCAGTAGAAGAGTGAGCTACATTCCTTTAACAGTGAAACAAAGGATGTCAACTCAGTAAGGAAGGAACAACAACCTTATTCTCAAGAATTCCCAGAGCTTACAATACTCGGAAGAACGACAGGCAACCCAAATCTTAGTGGTTCAGCCCCTTTTTGCTGTCAGTATACTGCTTGCAAAGCTCCCAGATGGTGGTGGTTATGTAGCTAAATAACTGTTGAATGAACAATTAGGCAGCAACCTTTGAAATGTCAGCAGCACTGAGGCAGGAAGAAAACAGGAGAGTGGGAGGGTTAATGTTGCCCTGGAGTTCAGCCTGCTATTTTGTCCAGAACAGGTTGAAAAAGGCCCTGAAATGGGCAGGCTGGTGAAGAGAAAAGTGGACGAAGGTGCTACAGTAACGATGATGATGTTGATAATGATAATAATAACAATAACAATAACAATAATAATAATAATAATAATAATAATAAGTGAAAGGCAGTCAAGAACCAACATTGAGGGAAATCAATAGTAGTAAACTGCTTAAAGTACAAAAGACAAAGAGGGAATACCATAAAAACACAATCCAGAGCAGAAGAGAAAACTGGCAAAAGAAGACTCTCCATGGACAGTTCCTGGGAAATATTGAGAGCCAAATTGACAAAGAAAAAGCATGGCTGTGGCTCACAAATGGAACTCTGAAAAAGGTGATGGAGGGCCTGATTCTGGCAGCCCAAGAACAAGCCATTAGAACCAGTGCCATCAGAGCCAGAATTGAAAAGTCGACAACAGATCTCAAATGTAGACTCTGCAAGGAAGCAGATGAAACAATAGATCATATCCTGAGCTGCTGCAAGAAGATCGCGCAAACAGACTACAAGCAGAGGCACAACACGGTTGCTCAGATGATTCATTGGAACTTGTCGCAGGCAAATACCATTTGCCTGCGACAAAGAACTGGTGGGATCACAAACTGGAAAAAGTTACAGAGAATGAACACGCCAAACTCCTCTGGGACTTCCGGATTCAGACAGACAGAGTTTTGGAACATAATACTCCTAAGTAACCACACAATCGTGTTAATTTGTGTGTGTGTGTGTGTGTTGTGCCTCTGCTTGTAGTCTGTTTGCGCGATCTTCTTGCAGCAGCTCAGGATGTGATCTCACAATCGTGTTACAAAACAAAGTATGGATCGTGTTACAAAACAAAGTAAGATGCCTATGGAAGCCTATACGCAGGGCAGGAGTACAGCACACAGCCTGCTTTGTGTCCTGCAGCATTGAAAAGTATATTGTCTCTTATTCTGGAGGTAATGTACAGTCACTGTGATTAGTTGCATTGTGCTCAATGAAGAATTGAGTTGAACCGTTCTGATGCATATCAAGTCTTTGTAGCCTGGTAGCTGTGATCTTTGTAAACTGGACTGAGAAAACAACCATACACACTTTGTTAAGAAGCAATTGGCTTTGAAAGCAGTGAAACTTTGTGGAGAATGGACATTTAAATGGCCTGATCATAATCTGGAGAGATCATAATCATCTCATCTGAAGGAGACATTCTGGAAGGGACATTAAGCTGCTTTAAAGGAATTGGGGGCAGGAAAAGCAAACAGTGCAGCTTGTGATTGGCTTCATATTACCAACCATACGATTAAGGACCTCTTTTATCCTAAAGTCTCAACCAATTCAACATAGTTTGTGGCAGCCACAAAAGTGAAGTTTCTGGAGTATAACAACTACTTTCAAAGTAAATACCACACAATTAAACAGGAAATAACACTTTCAAACCTGGAAGAGGGAGAATAAAGAGACATAGAGCAATTTTTTCATTTCTCTTTATTCTCCCTCTTCCAGGAGGCTATATAGGCCTAAAGCCAGTTGCTAATTCCAACTGAAGGAAATTAGTTGATTTAATAGGATGTCTATGAGCATTAACTTATAATTCAGCCGTCGATTCCGTAGTCTTAATTAGTTCGGACTAGCATTTCAATTTAGTCAATAATACTATGTAACAGAATTTGAAAGAAATTCTGTTCCTGGTTTGAAAGTGTTATTTCCTGTTTAATTGTGCAGTATTTATTTATTTACAACATTTATAAGCCGCCCTTCTCACCCCAAAGGGGACTCAGAGCAGCTTACAAGATATATATTCATACAATATATTATGTTATTAGCATAGTGCAATATCAGTATTAAATATTACTATATTGTACTATACCATTATATTGTAATATTATTAATAATATTACAGGTAATATAAATATATAATTACAATATCATATTATTATTTGTATTATATTATATTATATTAGTAGCATAGCACAGGAGACAAGTTGGAACTGTCCCCTGGCCCCCTCTCTCTTGACTCTGGCCCAGAGCGGCAGTTGGTGTTGGGGGAGGGCTCCCCAACTTTGAAAGTACTTTGAATTTACTTTGTAATTTGTAAGTAATTTGAATTTACTTTGAAAGTAGTTGTTATACTCCAGAAACTTCACTTTTGTGGCTGCCACAAACTATGTTGAATTGGTTGAGACTCTATCAGATATTTGTTGAAAAACTGTAGCAAAATGTGCTGCAGGATGTCCCACAAAAACAAAGTGTTTGCAATTCAATAAATTTTGCCCATGTTTGTATGATAGAACCAATTAGGAAATTGCACTTATAACCCAAAAATCATGTTACATAATGCAATGAATAGCAGTGTATTCGTTATGATAGGCAGTTCTCTAGTTCATCTCTTGTACATATTTTGTTTGAATGAGTGGTTAAAACTAGGCTTTAGGAATGAGCTATCACACACCGAGACTCTGTTATTGGATCTATAGTCTGTTAGAAGTATTGAAAGATTACTTGAACCAGAGTGATACTAGAATTTGGTTTTGCAGTGTTTTTGACCCTCTCCTCTCTTCTTTCCAGTTCTTGCGAGTGACGAAGCACTACCTACCTCACGTGGCCCACCTCTGTCTCATCAGCACGTTCTTGGAGGATGGCATCAGGATGTGGTTTCAGTGGAACGAGCAGCGGGACTACATCAACATGTCCTGGGGAAGTGGTACACTCTTAGCCACACTCTTTGTCCTCATTAACATGTGTGGCCAACTGGGTAAGAGCACTTCTAAATGGTTCGGACCCTGCCTATCTCTGCGGTCGCATCTCCTATGAACCGGCACAAGCTCTAAGATCTTCCGGGGAGGCCCTCCTCACGTTCCCACTATTGTCTCAAGCGTGGTTGGAGGGACGAGAGAGAGGGCCTTCTCGGTGGTGGACCCCCCCCCCCCCCCCGTCTCTGGAATGCCCTTCCAAGGGAAATAAGAGAGGCCCCATCCCTCCCCTCCTTTCGTAAGAGCTTGAAGACCAGGTGGTTTCAACAAGCCTTTGAAAATGACCAGTTCTAACTCAGCCCTACACATTGTCGAATACGGCCTTATTATTCCTACCAATTACCCAGACCATTTCCTCTAATCGGCCCCGGAATGAACAGCCACGGACCCGTACCTAATATTATTGTTGCCTGTCATAGAATTGCACCTAATTCGCGGGCCCCCTAGAATTTTTGGGCTTGTACAAATCTTGGCCTGGCCTTTTAAAAATTTTAAATTGCCTTGAACAGGCAGGATTCTTTTAATATATGTGTGTTATGGTGACAATTTTTATGCTTATATTTTGTTTTGTTAATCTTATGGTTATGTTGTTTTTTTACTTTGTATGTTTTGTGATGTTACCTGGGAACCGCTCTGAGTCCCCTTGGGGAGATGGAGCAGTATATAAATAAAGTATTATTATTATTATTATTATTATTATTATTTTCCCAGCTGGGAGAAGAACTCACGTGAAATTGTATGTGTAGATCTCCCTGCAGAATATGGCCTTGTAGACATTTGTATCCATTTTAGAATATGTCAGAAGTCATAATTCAAAATGTAAACTAGTGCCTTCTCCCCTGTAGCTGATATGCTTTAGTATCTGGCTGTGAAAAGCAACAGCAGGGAGCTTGAAGATCTAGGGTAATCTCAGCTAGAAAATGCCAGCTCCTTAAATGAATGAGTTTTCTATCTTTTGGGGATGGATTCAAAAGATTAGAAAATCTGTTTAAGCAGATTGAGAATGTTTATATGGCCCATCTGTTTTATTAGAGTCGACTTCTGCTTTGTTTGTTCATTCAGTATGTTTTGGTTCAATGTTCAGTTCAGTGTTGATTTAACAGAATAGAAATGTGATACAAAAGCTTACGACAACACAGGTGTCAAAAGTAATAGTAGAATAATGTATTATTTTGCACCCAAGAGCAATAGATTTCATAGAACTTCATAAATCTTTTTGTCTTTGAAATCCAATCTATATAAATAAAAATGTAATGTTCGTTTGTGGGATTAACTCAAAAACCACTGGACGAATTGATGCCAAATTTGGACACAACCCAATGTATGTTCTTCACTCAAAAAAATTTGATTTTGTCATTTGGGAGTTGTAGTTGCTTGGATTTATAGTACACCTACAATCAAAAAGCAATCTGAACTCCACCAATGATTGAATTGAACCAATCTTGGGACACAGAACTCCCATGACCAACAGAAAATACTAGAAGGGTTTGGTGGGCATTGACCTTGAGTTTGGGAGTTGTAGTTCACCTACATCCAGAGAGCACTTTGGACTCAAACAATGATGAATCTGGACCACACTTGGCACGAATATTCCATATGCCCAAATATGAACACAGATGGAGTTTGGGAGAAATAGACCCTGGCATTTGGGAGTTGTAGTTTCTGGGATTTATAGTTCACCTACAATCAAAGAGCATTCTGAAGCCCACGGACGACAGAATTGGGGCAAACTTCCCACACACAACCCCCAAAACCAATAGAAAATACTTAAGGCCATCCAATCCAACTCTCTTCACCAGGGCAAGAAAATGTAATCAGAGCCCTCCTGACGAAGAACCATCCAGCCATAGATATAGATAGATAGATAGATAGATAGATAGATAGATAGATAGATAGATAGATAGATAGATATGATTCACACGCACAGATATAATATCATAGATTTGAAAGGGACCCCTAAAGAAGGACTATGCTCTAAATTTCTCTAATGTCATATGATAGGAAATACAGGTTTCAAGGCAAGTTCTGTAAACTATCATCCTCACAGTAACACAAATATGTGTGTCCTTGCAGTAACACAAGTATGTGCAAGCGCATCTGTCAGTTGGAGCCCCCAGTGCGGTGGCGCAGTGGGTTAAACCCCTGAGCCGGCAGGACTGAAGACCGACAGGTCATAGGTTCGAATCCAGGGAGAGGTGGATGAGCTCCCTCTGTCAGCTCCAGCTCCTCATGCGGGGACACGAGAGAAGCCTCCCACAAGGATGATAAAAACATCAAATCATCCAGGCGTCCCCTGGGCAACGTCCTTGCAGATGGACAATTCTCTCACACCAGAAGCGACTTGCAGTTTCTCAAGTTGCTCCTGACACAACAAAAAAAAAATCTGTCAGTTAGAGGTTATGTTAGAAGAGTGATTCCAGTTAACAGGACTATAAAGACACTTTTCATCGTAATAGGGAATCGCAGTGTACATATGAATGGGTGAATGTAGTTTGATTTTGTTTAGATTCTCATTGTTTGAGTCTAAGTTGATTCTGTCCATACTCTGTATCAATTTCTGAGTACATAGATATATCCTGCACTAATTTCCAAATATATTGCCATTCACATTTTTCAAACTATACTCTTCCGATTTTGCAAACATTTTTTAATACAGCATTTATTGGCATATTTTAAAAACATATGCATGTTAAGCAATTTTTCAAAATTTGTCTTTTATTTTATTTCCCTCCCTGAACTACAGTTTAAACTTTAGAAAAGTATGGATGTCAGCATCTATCAGCATTCAGATTTGTGTTCAGTTCAGGAAGTACAAATTTGGCAAATTCATATTGAATGAATTTCTTCCCATTCTGTCCTATGTAAATGTTCTCTATACCAATGAAGCAGCATATCTGAACCTTTTACCAAGTAACCTGTGAGAGAGCCTGTACAGTATAGCAATATCAAAGTGGACATAGGCCTGGGATATCATATTTCTATTTCAAATAAAGGTCACAGAGTAGTTTTTGCCAGTCTCTCTTACCTAACAGATTCTGTAGCCAGTCAATCTGGTGTAATGGACCTGTAGTCCATTCACGTGGTCGATTAAAAGGTTCCCAAATAGCAGAGAATATTTTATTTGGCCCTTCAACTCATTTTTCCCCCTTTTTATAAAGTTTTTTTGGAGGCTATATGAGGAACAGCTTATGCAAATGAGTATGTTTAGCTTGGAGAAAAGAAGGCTTGGTGGGCATCTACAGTGTAGAATTAATACACTTTGACACCACTTTTACTGTCTTGGTTCAATGCTGTGGAATCTTTTGCTTTTCCTTCCAAATAATGCTGGTGTCTCTCCAAACTACAGCTCTCATCATTCCATAGCACAGAACCATGGCAGTTTTTTTTTTGGTCATGTCAGGAGCAACTTGATAAAATGCAAGTCGCTTCTGGTGTGAGAGAATTGGCCGTCTGCAAGGACGTTGCCCAGGGGACGCCCGGATGTTTTGCTGTTTCATCCTTGTGGGAGACTTCTCTCATGTCCCTTCATGAGGAGCTGATAGAGGGAGCTCATCCGCGCACTCCCCGGATTCGAACCTGCGACCTATCGGTCTTCAGTCCTGCCAGCACAGGGGTTTAACCCACTGCGCCACTGGGGGCACTTAAAATAGTGTCAAATTATATTATTTTTAAAGTGTAGTATGCAAGATGGGATTTGTCTTTAAATATATGAAGGGATGCCAGGCACAGGATGGAACAGGTTTGTTTTCTGCCACTGTAGAGATTGGAACACAAGCCAGTGAGTTCAAATAACAGGAAAAGGCATTCCATCGAAACTTTTAAAAACGTAAAATGTAGGTTCTTGTGGGTTTTTTCGGGCTATATGGCCATGTTCTAGAGGAATTTTCTCCTGGCGTTTTGCCTGCATCCATGCAGTCGAAACGTCAGAAGAAAATGCCTCTAGAACATGGCCATATAGCCCGAAAAACCCCACAAGAACCTAGTGATTCCAGCCATGAAAGCCTTCGACAATACAACGTAAAATGTGTTTAGAAGGTGGAATAAACTGCCTAGATGGATGGTGACATCTCAGTCTTTATAAGTCTTTAAACAGAGCTTCAATTGACACCATTCAGGAGTGCTTTAGTCGTATATTCTTGCATGGCAAAGAACTGGACTACATAGCTCTTGTTGTCCTGAGTTCCTATCATTATTTATTTGTTTATTTATTTACGACATTTATATGCTGCCCTTCTCACCTGAAGGGGATTCAAGTAAAAAGTAAATACAATATATTATTATCATAGCACAATATTAATATTATATATTACATTGTACTATAACAATATTATAATATAATATTATAATATTGTATTATTTATTTATTTATTATTTACTTCATTTATATCCCGCCCTTCTCAACCCTGAAGGGGACTCAGAGCGGTCTTATAAATCAGATCTTCCATACACTATCAAAATAGCTTATTTTGGGCAGGTATAAGAAAGGACTGTGAGGAACGCAGCCTCTGAATTGTTTCCTTACTGCATTTCTCTTTCTTTTTTTGTCACTAAAGCATTTTCTCTTTTCTCTGTTTTTTAGCTGGGTGTGTACTAGTCCTGGCCCGAAAGTTTGTTCCTTATGCGTGCTTTGGCTTATTTGGAATCATCTTTATGCAGGTGAGTTATAAGGTTTCAAGAAAGAGAGAGATCATTACTGGGAATGGGATGATATCCTATAGACCAGTGGTTCTCAACCTGTGGGTCCCCTGGTGTTTTGGCTTACAACTCCCAGAAATCCCAACCAGTTTACCAGCTGTTAGGATTTGAAGGAGCTGAAAGCCAAAACATCTGGGGATCCACAGGTTGAGAACCACTGCTATAGACATTCCAACAAAATTGTATACTTTAGGACAGTGGTTCCCAACCTTTTTTTTGACCAGGGACCACTCTCCAACATTAGCACCAAAAGGGGTTACGAATCAGTTTTTGGTCAACTTATTTGGGTGCTGATTCAGAAAATTGCATTATTATTAACTTTATTTGTACCCCGCTAGCATCTCGCGAAGGACTCGATGCAGCTTACAAAGGCCAAGGCCTCAACAAACAATAGCATAACAAATACAATACAAAGCAAATCAAAACATTAAAGCAATAACAGTAAGACAACATAACACAATAAAAATAAAAACAGGGCCGGGCCAAAGTAATGGGTACAGATTAAAAAGTGCTGGGTGTAACAGGCGATCTATCAGTAAACCACATCAGCTCTATTTTCTGATACAGAACATATGTCATCTGGTAGTTGCCATCTGCTCGCCCTCAGAAAATCTTATTTAATAATCTAGAGCTGATGTGATCTACCCAATGCAATTTTCTGAATCAGCACCACAAATAACCCCAGAAACAAGCCCAAAAAGGAAGACACCAAGGCACCCCTGCTTCCAGGCACCACATGGAATGGCTCTGCTCAGGGAGATGGAGGAGGAGAAGCAGCAGTCAGGAGACTTGTTGCTCCTTTTGTGCCTAACCTAAAGTTGGTATGCAAGTAAAGAGGGAAATAAAAAAGAACCCCATAATCAATAGCATTAATTCCACGGTCTTCTGACTACTGTTGGGAAACAACGACTTTGTTTTTATCTTGTATGCATTTGAACTCTACCTAGAATTGGGAAATACCTATTGCTACCTACCATATTCCATTTTGTTAGTCTCTGACACTATTATTTACAAATACGCTGTTTCAGAAATTTTGTGTGTGTGTGTGTGGTTAAAAATCAAGTTGCATAATAGTTGTGGTGTGCGACTATTATGCAAGGAGAAAATATTATTATTGTGCCTTGACAGTGTGGGCTTTCCTGCCATAATACAAATCCATACCATTTTTGACTACTTCATCATGCATTTTTGGTAATTTATTGCACAGCAATATTAGGGATCTTCTAGAAAGAAGTGTGTGGGAAAGACAGACAAAAATCACTCTCCAGCCTTCTGACCAAAGTTGCTTCTATTCCAAAGCTGTTTTCCAGGAAATCTCAAGAGTTATTGTAACTGCTGCCAAGAAAAGTAGCTTCCAGCTCTGAAGACAAAAGCCTTTGGCATATACTCACCATCTTCTTGTTTATTTGTTTCAGACAATTGCCTATAGTATCTTATGGGATCTCAAGTTTTTAATGAGGTGAGTAAACCATAGAAAGCACGTTATATTCTAACTTTGCTAGGAAACTTGGCAAGAGTGCTTAGATAGTCTCTGACTTTGATTTGGTATAAACTGGGATGCCCATCTAAGTAAGAAAAGACATTGCTTGTGTGCCAAAGAGAACAATCTGCTTGCCCAGCCTGCATGTGGAAAGGCTGCTTATGTAAAGAGATTAGAATTGCTCTGGGTTCAGGACAGGTCAGTGAAAGCATACGTAGTAAGACAGTACTATATGTTCCATGGTAGCTTTGATGGCCGTAAATATCTAGTTATGCTACGCCTCTGCCTCTTTCTTCATTTGGAATGCAAGCATTTACACTACAAATGGGAGAGGTGCCATTACCAATTTTTACAGGAAAAATTGAAAAAATCTAGACTGCAGTTGACCTCCTTCAACTATTAAAAATGCATTTACTGGGTTAAGTGTAAAACAGAGTTTGTCAGGTGATGTCATGGAAGAAACTGTCAATTATTTCTTCTACCCCTGACAGAGGCTGGATGGCCATCTGTCAGGGGTGCTTTGAATGCAATATTCCTGCTTCTTGGCAGGGGGTTGGACTGGATGGCCAATGAGGTCTCTTCCAACTCTATGATTCTAGTGTGCCAGGAACTATAAGGACCTATAGCACCAGGATTGTGGCGCAGCTGGCTGAGTGTCAGCTGCATTAAGATCACTCTGATCAAAAGGTCATGAGTTCGAAGCCAGCCCGGGTTGGAGTGGTTTTCCAACCAATTGTGTGTAGCCTGTTGTCGACCTTTGCAACCCGAAAGACAGTTGCATCTGTCAAGTAGGAAATTTAGGTACCACCTTAAAGTGTGGGGAGGCTAAATTAACTGATTTATGAGGCCATAAAGAAGACTCCAGCAAAGCATTCCAGCGGGGAAGCATGTGGGGAATGCGGAAGTGCTTCATCAGCGTTGCAGATGGACGATGAAAGCGACAGCTTCCCTGGCGGCCAGAAAAAGTTAAATAGCCTCTGTGTATGTCTCCAAAATCAGGGCCTACAACTACTGGGCAAAACTGATGGCCATGGAAAATGATAGACTCCCAAAACTGTGCCTGTTAGAGCAGATAGAAAATCAACATCAGACCTCTTGGTTAGTTCTCCTGACAAAATACATTAGGAGCTGTGGACTTCCGACTCGGTATCCGAATCTCTTAGAAGAGTTAGACCCAAAAATAGTTGCTCAACGAGTATTGGATATAGAAGGCCAAAAAGACATCGCTACCCTCAGTAAAGCTGGCTCACTGAAATGGTTAGGCCGCTTTAAACATACCTTCCAAACAGCTCGATATCTAAAAACAGAAATGCCTAAACACCTTAGGAGGGTATTTACCAGAGCTCGTTTTGAACAGCTGGATACAATGGACAAGCACGGAAGGTTTAATCAAGTCCCATACAACGAACGATTTTGTATTTGTGGAGCACCAGAGGTGGAGGATATCACACATGTATTGTTCAACTGTGAGCTGTATAAGAAAGAGAGAGACCATTGCCTTGGACCATACATTACTCAAAAAACACACTGGGACCCATATATTAAAACCTCATTTTTGTTGGCCGGCCAGAACCCTAAAATAACACACAAAACAGCCCTTTTTCTATTCAAAGCAACACAGCTGAGAATTGCACATTTAGAATCAATTGGGGTAAACTGTGGAGGTGACGCAGACATTTGACCTGAACGAGATCTTGTTAACAGCTTGTTTATTTTAACTTCTTTTATACCGAGGGTTGTATGTTGTATGTATGACTATGTATGACTATGTGTTAATTGTGTTATGTGTTAAATGTTTTGATACGGCCAATAGGCCAATCAATAAAACGTATCTATCTCTGTGTATGTCTGTATATGTTTGTATGTCAAAAATTGGCATTGAATGTTTGCCATATATGTGTACACTGTAATCTGCCCTGAGTCCCCTGCAGGGTGAGAAGGGCGGAATATAAAAGCTGTAAATAAATAAATAAATACAGTGGTCCTGGCATCATCCCTCTGAGTAGCACTGGTTTGAAGTACAACAATACTTTAATGTTGTACAGTACAGTGTTGTCTTTGGTCAAAAGCATAGGGACGTGTATAGAACATACATAGCAAAATGTAAGAATAATCATGTTGCATACAAAAATGGAATTGATTTTGTAACAAAGCAAAGTCTTTAATGGTAGGTAATTCAGTCTCAGTTCATTTGACATTTTTCATCTTTCCCAGGTGAGCCTTGAAGTTATTGATTCAGTGTCTTCCTCTAGTTCAGTCTTCTAGAAATGATGCTGATACAGGTGTCACTGTCTTCCTATAAGTGCTTGTCAGGCAATAAAAGATTTGAGTTAGGGAAAGTAATAAAAAGAGAGGACCTTATTCCTTCCTGTACAAAGATGCTATCCAGAGTCACTTGCCATGTTCTGTGCATGACTCATATGGATCCTTCTAGTGATATCAGGAGCAGGTGTTGTTTACTCCCAGATTTGGAATAGAAGGAGCTCTGTAGGCTTAAAATAGGGGTCAGGCTGCATATGTACTGAATTATGAACTTGTCCTGAAGACTTGAGGTTTGTGGCAAATTAGATGAAAAGGCCAGTCACTGTTGCTAAATAAATAAATAGCTATTTTGTAGGCATTTGGATATTCCTCGGCCTCTTGTAAAGCCAAAGCATCCATTTACTTGTAGTATATAGCTCAAGGGAGAACTTATATATCTAGGCAGGTACAGAATGTTCAGCTCCACAGCCGATAAATTTATTCTGAAGAACTTAAGTTTCTTGGAACTTAGAGCTTAAAAAGAAACACGATACCGTATTTTGTTGCATAATAGTTGCGGTGTGCGACTATTATGCAAGGAGAAAATATTATGTTGCTGGTTTTTAAAAAATAAAATGTGTTACCTTTAAAGAAGACTGGTCCAGCCTCAAACAGTTATGTTTCTGTTGGTTTCTTTCTTCAATAGGTACTTTTGTTTTCCTCTCATAATAGTCACACCCCCATTTGATGTTGATTCTCCCTCCTTTCTTCCTCCTCTGAAGGCAAGGCAGTTTAAAAACTATAAAATTGAGGTCTCTGGAGCTCAGCTCTTTCCTCTTTCCACCTTCTTCCAATGCAATGCAGTTTACAGGACCTGGAATGGAGTTCTTTGGAGAAAGCAGGGAAGAGTGAAGATCTGAGTTGCAGAACTTCATTTCAGGTTTTTAAAACTGCTTTGCCTTGGAGGAAGAAGAAAGGAGAGAATAATGGTACTTCACAGATGTCCATTTTGTAGCTTTTAAACTGCCTTGCCTTCAGAGAAATAAAGAAGGAAAAATCAGCCTCAAATGGGAGTGCGACTATTATGCAATGAAATATGGCATTTCTTTTCAGTTCCATATAGGGATGGAAATATTTGGACATGTTTTAAAAGGGAGCTGAAAATATATACATACATATATATATACACACACACATACATACACGTGTGTGTGTGTGTATTTCTCAAGCATCAAGAAATCTTGACAAGAAAAATCTGGCCTGATGATGATCTTTGCAGTTTGAGACTTCTGTGCAGAATTCACCTGTGATTGCTTGGTGCAGACAACAGTATTTTATGCACAGCATATACTGTTTGAACCAGTTCTCCACGAAATTCAAAATGATGTGTTTTGTGCAGGAAAAGCATTTTCTGTGCAGAAAGTGGTATTGTGTGGGCAAAAGCACTGCTTTTATTGTAAAAACACAACATGCAAATTTTATGCAGAATAAATCCCAAATTGTGAACAGTCTTTCAAAACTATTTTTGAAGACTAATAATAATAGTCATAATCATAATAAAAAACATTATTTATAGACTGCTCCCTCTCTCTGAGGGGACTTAGAGCGGTTTCCATAGAAAAAGGCAACCATTCAATGCCCAAACGCAAATACGTTAATGTAATACAACGTAATACAGAATAATAACCACAGTGAGCTTATCGTATAAATTAACATTGAAGTAAGAAAGATGTTAATTAAGAAGATTGCTAAAATTACTTATTAGTCTCTTCAAGAAGAAAATGAGTAAAGAACTGCATCCCTACATCCACATTCTCAAAGGATTGAGGTTCTTAGTTGCATTGTTTACATCGAAACTGAAAGTCAGATATCCAGTTTTCGTTATCTCCTATCCTTATGTCTTCATTTTCTTTGAGTCCAGTTTGTCAGAGAAACTGTTATGTATCTCACACAGAAATACCAAATATATTATTTTATGCTTTCTGACTCTCAACGTGAAGGATCCATGTCAAGCTGTCCAGGGATCAACATATGTTCAGTATAGAAAAGCCTATCTCAACAGTTAAGAAGATAAATATTATGGGGGGTAAAGAGATAATGGAACAAATGTGGGGAATCTCAGGTTTTGGGAGTAAATAGCGTCCCGGTTTTCTAACTTGGTCTTCATGTATACTCCAGATAGCTGCACCCTTCCCCATGATACTGTGAATTGGACATTTCCAAGGTTTTGTCTGTGTTTTTGCCATTCTAAATAACTAAAGTACCTTTCCTACAGTTCAGGTATTGATAATAGAAACTACATGGTATTTTTTTAGTTCCACACTTTAAGCATTTGGCCTTTTCCACTTTCCAGTAAAAAAAAAAAAGGGGGGGGGACCTAGTTCTCCATCCCTTATAAATGGTCTGTGGAGAAGTGTGGGTAGAGGTGCAGCCATGTACATCTGTTCTGGCCTTTAGTGATGCAGCGTCTGAGTTTCTCAAGTACATTTTCCTTCCGTGCAGGAATCTGGCTCTTGGGGGTGGTCTGCTTCTCCTACTTGCAGAATCTCGTTCTGAGGGGAAGTCCATGTTCGCTGGAGTCCCCACCATGGATGACATCTCACCACGGCAGTACATGCAGCTTGGCGGCCGGTTGCTCCTTGTCCTCATGTTCATGACGCTCTTGCACTTTGAACTTTCCGTCTTCACTGTGAGTGGAGTTTTCATCTCATTTTTTCTACCTTAAAGATAGAGAGGTTTCCTTGTTGGGGGGGGGGGGCCAATGCATACACCAGGGCTTCTCAAACTTTTCAAACAGAGGGCCAGGTCACAGTCCCTCAAACTGCTGGAGGGCTGGATTATAATTTGAAAAAAACATGAATTCCCTTGCACACTGCACATATCTTATTTGTAGTGAAAAAAACACTTAAAAACAATACAATAATTAAAATAAAAAACAATTTAAACAAATATAATCTTATTAGTATTTCAGTAGGAAGTGTGGGCCTGCTTTTGGCTGATGAGATAGGATTGTTGTTGTTGTGTGCTTTCAAGTCGTTTCAGACTTAGGTTGACCCTGAGCGAGGGCCGGGTAAATGACCTTGGAGGGCCGTATTCGGCCCTCGGGCCTTATTTTGAGGACCCCTGGCATACACAGGTGGACAAGCTTATATCAGCCTCATCACAAGGATAGTGACAAAAAGAAATGTAATAGGATATTCTCCTGGCCAGTAAAGCACAACTGCCCACTTGTGATTAGCTTGAACTACTGCAGCTCTTGTACTTGCAAAGATTTGGGACTCCTAAACTTTCTTCATGTCAGCTTTCTCTCCTGCCCATAATCTTTTGCTGATCTATTTTCGCACTCATTCCTAAATTGCCATGAGTGTGCAATTTCACATTCTTAGGATTCTTAGGATTAAATTAGAAGTTTGTTGTCCTTGATTTTACAGAGGTAGACTTTGAAACACCTATGCAATACCAGGGCTGCCTGTGTCCCCAAAGTGTTAAGAGATGTTCCACGACACTTTGCCTATTCCTAATAATAGCAACACGACCGAAATAGATAATGCAAACAAGCAAATGCCCGCACATTTGCATAATATTTAAAGCAGATCAGACTGGCTTATGTGGATGCAAATAGGATCTTGTTGCATATACAGGCTGTCTTTTGGTTTAAGAGCAGTACCTTTAGGGTTTGTTTGTTTTTTGTCGTGTCAGGAGCGACTTGAGAAACTGCAAGTCGCTTCTGGTGTGAGAGAATTGGCCGGCTGCAAGGACGTTGCTCAGGGGACGCCTGGATGTATTGGTGTTTTTATCATCCTTGTGGGAGGCTTCTCTCATGTCCCCGCATGAGGAGCTGGAGCTGACAGAGGGAGCTCTTCCGCCTCTCCCTGGATTTGAACCTGCGACCTGTCGATCTTCAATCCTGCCGGCACAGGGGTTTAACCCACTGCACCACCAGGGGCTCCACCTTTAGGGATGTTGTATTGGGAATGGGAAGATTAGGGCATTGATCCCCCAAGTACGAATTCTGCCTCTACAAAATTTCCCAGCAGACATTCCAGATAGGCAAGAAAAAGAAAAAAATCCAGTATCTTCACAAATAGGAATTATTCTTAGGTCTGTTGTTCCAGTGAGACACATATACCAGTGTTCTGTTGTTGTTTCAGCCACTCCAGATTTCTGCAATAGGTGGTAAAAACCTAGGACATTGGGATGCCAGTACCACTCACCCTAACCATGGAAGCTCTGGCAAATCCCAACACTGTAGGAGACTCTTCCTTTATCTGATGGTGAAAAAAATGATGATCTTACCCTTCAATACATTTATTTTTAGCCAACAATGGGCAAACATCCTCCCCACTCTGTTGGGGTAGGTGTTAGGCTATATATTGTCCCCTGTGGAGAGGCAGTTATACCACAGGCTGACTTCATGTCTGACCCACATTCTGTACAGTGGACCCTTCAGATTCTTCATCCATGGATTCAACCAACCACAGATAAACATATTTGGGGGGAAACCCAAAAAGCAAACCTTGATTCTTCAGCATGGTCACTGTGAAATCCACACCTGTGGTATTTCCTGCGTCGGATCCTTATTGAAAAGCTTCTGCTAAATCACGGACTCCAGCCCTGCCCATCCACTCCAGTAATAAAGCCAGGCAACAGGACTTGAGGCCTTAGTTCCTTTTGTCCGCAAAAGCAGCAACAACTCGGAAGGCATTTTTGCACGGTGTGCCACTGGATGACATTTGTCGGGCGGCCATTTGGTCAACACCGCGCACATTTGTCTCCCATTACAAACTGGACTCAGCTGCCAAAAAACATGCGGCTTTTGGGATAGCAATTCTTTTTTCTGCATTAGCATGATGCCCACCATCCATGGGACTGCTCACTAGTCTACCACAGGCGTGGATTTCACAGTGACCACTCTGAAGAAAGTAAGGTTGCATACCTGTAACCATGTTTCTTCGAGTGGTCAACTGTGAAATTCACACCACCCGCACTCGGTCATGCCTTCTATCTCCGACTGTTTTTTGTGGTATGGAACTAAGGCCTCAAGTCCCGCTGCCTGGCTTTATTACTGGAGTGGATGGGCGGGGCTGGAGTCCGTGATTTGGCAGAAGCTTTTCAATAAGGATCCGAATCAGCTGCGTGGATGGAGGCCCTGGTTAAACCCCTGTGCCGGCAGGACTGAAGACCGACAGGTCGCAGGTTCAAATCCGGGGAGAGGCGGATGAGCTCCCTCTATCAGCTCCAGCTCCTCATGCGGGGACATGAGAGAAGCCTCCCACAAGAATGATAAAAACATCAAATCATCCGGGTGTCCCCTGGGCAACATCCTTGCAGACGGCCAATTCTCTCATACCAGAAGCGACTTGCAGTTTCTCAGGTCGCTCCTGACATGATAAAAAAAAAAAGCTGCGTGGATGCAGGAAATACCACAGGTGTGAACTTCACGGTTGACCACTCAAAGAAACAGGTAAGAAACCTTACTTTTTGCTATGAGGCAAGCATCATGCTGATGGACAGGCATCCCTGTTGTAGTCTTCTGCCATTTCACAAACTTTCTCTGGCACTTGTTTGAGTTGTCTGCTATTTTATATAAGGGATGCCATTTTACAGGCACCTACATAATTTGATATCAGCTGGAGTTCTGGATCCAAATTCAAGCAGATCCATAGGGCCCACTGTGTGTTGAAAATTTTAAGAAATTAGTAAATGTTTTCTCTTTCTTGAGCATTTATCTGTTTGGCTGTGTTAGCAGCTGACCTCCTAAAGGTAGCTCCCCCACATAGAAATACTAGGTCTTTTTTTCCCCCTGCCCATATGAGGCAAGTAGAAGAACCTGACCAACATTGTACGCCCCTGGTGGTGTAGCGGGTTAAACCGCTGAGCTGCTGAACTTGTGACCAAAAGGTCACAGGTTCAAATCCGAGGAGCGGGGTGAGCTCCCACTGTTAGCCTCAGCTTCTGCCAACCTAGCATTTCGAAAACATGCAAATATGAGCAGATCAATAGGTACTGCTTCGGCAGGAAGGTAACGGATCTCCATGCAGTCATGCCGGCCACATGACCTAGGAGGTGTCTATGGACAACACCGTCTCTTCGGCTTAGAAATGGAGATGAGCACCACCCCCCAGAGTTGGACATAATTAGACTTAATGTCAGGGGAAACCTGTACCTTTATGGAGCAAGTGGAAGAACCTACCCAACATTGTATGATATTCAAGTCTTGCTGTGAACAGGACTATATGGCAGTGTAGACTCATATAATCCAGTTCAAAGCAGATAATGTGGATTTTCTCCTTTGATAATCACGGGTAAGACCAACTTTCCTTTTCTCTTTAAATCCCCATATTTCAATCATTGTAGTAATTTGTCACTTCAGTTGGGCATTTAGAAACACATTTTAAGCATTGAAAAGGTCAGGCAAAGGGAGGCCCCTTCTACGCTGCCATATAAAATCCAGATTATCTTCTGTGTACAGAACTATATGGCAGTGTAGTCTCATATAATCCAGTTCAAAGCAGATAATGTGGATTTTCTCCTTTGATAATCTGGATTATATGGTTGTGTAGAAGAAGCCTTATTAAGGGGAGGAAAACACAACTAATAGAAAAATTCTAAGTCTGGATGATTATCTCACTTCCTGCAATGCTAAAAATGTGTGGACACTTGGCAAATTTAATTTGTGGCAGATGAATCCTTTTTGAGGGGGGCGTGCCTTCATTTTGCTCCCACTTCTCTGATTTGTATTTTAAATAGGGTTTAAGATGTAGAGACGGGAGCTGCATTAAGTTGCTGTGTCCATGTTTTCCCTCTTCAGATTTTCCAGGACATCTTTGGCATGGCACTCATCATTTTGGTAGCTGTCGGCTTCAAGACCAAACTTGCTGCTCTTACCCTTGTGGTCTGGCTCCTCATCGTCAACATGATCCAGAATGCCTTCTGGACCATCCCCACCTATAGGCCTCTCCACGACTTCCTCAAATACGACTTTTTCCAAACCATGTCTGTCATAGGTGGCTTGCTGCTTGTGGTGGCGCTGGGACCTGGAGGGGTTTCGATGGATGAGCATAAGAAGAAGTGGTGAAAGTGGACTGTGAATGGGGCTCAATGTGGGGTAGGGAGGGGGGAGGATTGGAAGCAAAATAGGGACAATGTGGGGTTGGGTCAGGGTTAAACTACAGCTTTTATAAACCCGTGTAGAATTTTATTCTCTTTTGATTCTCTTAAGGTTTATCATAGTTCACGGTTGCCTTATCAGGGTGGGAGAGCCTTTGCTTTTCTATCCTGTTTGAGACGTGTAAATTAAAGCCGAATTGTATACATGGGTGTGTTGTGTGTTTGCGTCTCTGTCTGTGTGTATGTGTGTTTTAATTTGCCGCATGCTCATCCCTAGCCTTCTGGGGCATGGAAACTGTTTTGTCTTCTGACACAAAAGCCTGGGATTGGAATAGTGGTAACCATTTTATGTCCTTTGGGAATATTCTTCCCATTGGAAGTAAGTATGGACAGCTTGCAGCCTTTACTCCCATGTTGAAGGGGCAGTCCCACAATTGTTTCTAGGGCCCCTTCTAGGCTGCCATACAATCCATATTATCAAAGCAGATAATGCTCATTATGTTCTTTGAAGTGGATTATATGAGTCTACACTGCCATATAACCCAGTTCAAAGTTGATAATCTGGATTTTATATAGCAGTCTAGAAAGGGCCTTTGACTGGTTCTGTCTTGAGCTTCTCCACTCCAACACAAGTGTTTATGACCTTATGAAATATCCTCCCCTATTTTCGTTTTCTCCTTCCATATCTCAAACTTCGAAAGTGTATACATGGTCCAGGAGCTGCAATTTCTGCCCCATTTTAGCAGGTCTAACAAGCCAAGGAAAATGCAAGTTGTTTTAATAGAAGCTCTTTCCCTATTTCTAAACTTATCTTGTAAAATTAGAGATACATAGTGTGGTTGTGGGCATTTAGATAGGCAGGCTGTGCTCTCTATGGGGCCATAACAAGCTCTCCTAGCAGCAATAGCTCATAGCAGATATTCTTAGGCAGAAAAAACGAAATGCAAAGAAACAGAATGGGGGACGCCTGGCTCGAGAGCAGTATGTGTGAAAAAGATCTTGGAGTCCTCGTGGACAACAAGTTAAACACGAGCCAACAATGTGATGCGGCGGCAAAACAAGCCAATGGGATTTTGGCCTGCATCAATTGGAGTCTATTGTCTAGATCCAGTCATGCTACCCCTCTGTTCTGCCTTGGTTAGATCACATCTGGAATACTGTGTACAATTTTGGGCACCACAATTAATGGGAGATGTTGACAAGCTGGAATGTGTCCAGAGGAGGGTGACTAAAATGATCAAGGGTCTGGAGAACAAGCCCTATGAGGAGTGGCTTAAGGAGCTGGGCATGTTTAGCCTGAAGAAGAGAAGGCTGAGAGGAGATATGATAGCCATGTATAAATATGTGAGAGAAAGCCACAGGGAGGAGGGAGCAAGCTTGTTTTCTGCTTCCCTGGAGACTACGATGCGGAACAATGGCTTCAAACTACAAGAAAGGAGATTCCATCTGAACATGAGGAAGAACTTCCTGACTGTGAGAGCCATTCAGCAGTGGAACTCTCTGCAGTGGAGCGTGGTGGAGGCTCCTTTGGAGGTTTTTAAACAGAGGCTAGATGGCCATCTGTCAAGGGTGCTTTGAATGCAATATTCCTGCTTCTTGGCAGGGGGTTGGACTGGATGGCCCATGAGGTCTCTTCCAACTCTGTGATTTTATTATTCTTGGTGGCCATTTTCCTTCACAATAATAATAATTGCTTTATTTATATCCTGCCACCACCTTGCTAAAATAACATCCTGCAGAAACTTAAAGATCGTGCATGTGGAGCAAACCCAAAATTAATAAGAACATCAGCCCTGGCCTTGACTTATTCAACTGCTGAATTTGACTGCCCTGTTTGGCACAAGTCTGTCTGTGCGAAGCAGGTGAACATAGCACTGAACGAAACATGCAGAATAATCACAGGATGTTTCAAATCTACACCTGCTAGTAGACTCTACAAGTTAGTTGGAATCCCCCCCCCCCCCCAATGTGCAACCGAAAGTTGCTGCTATGTGTGAGAGAAATAAGGTTGAATATTGTGAAAGCCACCCACTGCATGGCTATCAATCTCCTAGTAATAGACTCAGCTAAAGGGAAAGCTTCATGAGAACCACCTCTCCTCTTAATGTTCCCCCAGCAACAGCAAGGGTATCCCTCTGGACTGCTAAATCAGAAAATCCAAACTGGATGGCCCCTTGCGAGGGTCTTCTTCCAGGGGCAAACCAAGAATGGGCAACTTGGAAGTCCCTGAACAGACTCAGAAGTGAAGTGGGCAGATCAAAAGACAACCTGGCAAAATGGCACTACCTAGAAGAATCCTGCACCTTGTGTGATTGTGAAGCAGAACTGACAACTCAGCACCTGTATGCATGCCCACAATGCCCTGCCTCATGCACAGAGGAAGAATTGTTTAAAGCTACAGACAATGTTGCTGTTGCCCAGTTTTGGTCAAAAATTATTTAGCTGCTCGTGCTCTTTCTATTTTTCTCAGTTTTATACTTACATATGCAATGCTTTTGACACGAAATAAATAAACAAATAAATCTCCCCAAAAGGGACTCAGGGCGGCTTACAAGGCAACAAAAGTGCAAGACAGAACATATAAAATACAACAAAAAATTGCCCAAATCAATGAGCAACACCAAATAACATAAATAACAACTTACAAAAATTAATAGAAAGCATCTCAATTAAAATGAAAGTAACCAATGAGAACACAACAATAAATTGTAGTTAAGAACATATAGAGCAACAGTAAAGATGGCAAAAAATATCACTTTTCTTCTATCACAACAAAGCAGGAGCTTTCTGGTACGGAAATTGAATTCTCTTTCCCCATCTGCCAAAAACTGCTATCCTTCAACAAATACCTGTCATATATATTGGCCCTGAAATTGTAATTAATGTAACTGATAGAATTTTAGACGATCCGTTAACATTTACAAGACGGTTTATAAAGCTACAAGACAAGACAAGACGTGGAAAGATTACAGTATAATAACATACAGCAGCATGAAAGCGGTCAAACAATTTTGAATGTGATTTTTCAAAGTGTTTTCCTAGTATGCAAAAGATAACAGTGTGAGGCACAAAACAACTACTAGGGCTTGTCCTCAAAAAGAACCAAAATGTCCAAAAGAGTAAGGAATTGGACTCCACGCCTGGTATATTATCCATTTCCTATGAAGTTCTTGGCTCTTGTTAAGGAAGATCCTGGAACAAGTAGATCAGTGTGAATTTCTGAAAGAAAATGACCCAATTAACATTGGTTTTGACAATAACTGGTTATCAAAGCAGATAATCCATATTATCTGCTTTAAACTACCTTATATGAGTCTGCATTCCCATATAATCAAGTTCAAAGCAGATCTAGATTTTATGTGGCAGTGTAGAAAGGGCCTACGATTATCTGATGGTGGAGACTCATATAATCCAATTTAAAGCAAATATTGTCGAAGGCTTTCATGGCCGTAATCACTGGTTTGTTGTAGGTTTTTTCGGGCTATATGGCCATGTTCTAAAAGCATTCTCTCCTGATGTTTCGCCTGCATCTATGGCAAGCATCCTCAGAGGTAGTGAGGTAGTGACATGAATTAAAGTTTGCTGTTCCAGGAAGGTGGGGGGAGGGGGGGTTGTTGGGCGAAACATAACTAAGGAATGTATAGAATGTCATTTAAGGAATATTTATTTTTGGAATAATGTGTATTGAAATAAGACCTGTATGGCAATTTTTTGTTGATTGTTGGGATGTATCAAAGAAAAGAAAAAAGAAAAAAAACTACCTCTGAGGATGCTTGCCATAGATGCAGGCCAAACGTCAGGAGAGAATGCTTCTAGAACATGGCCATATAGCCCGAAAAAACCTACAACTTAAAGCAAATAATCTGGGATCAGATCCTGGGAGCCAGGGCAGTGTGGAAGGGGCCTGATTTATTTCCAACAGAATGAATGCAGTTTTGCCACCACTTGAACTGCTTGCGACACCATACTCTGGACTCATGTGAGTAAGTAAAACTTGATTTCTATCCCATCCTATTTCTCCATGGGGACTTGGGGTGGATCACAATTTAAATACAACAGAGGAAAACAATAGTAAAAAGAATCAAAACAAAACATTCAACAAGAAAGCAGATCACATGAAAACAAAAAAGTTACACAATATTAGCAGAGTTAAAAGCCGTGTCTAGGGCCCCTTCCACACATCTGAATAAAACCCCACATTATCTGCTTTGAATTGGGATATATGGCAGTGTGGACTCAGATATCCCAGTTCAAAGCAGATATTGTGGGATTTTTCTGCCTTGATATTCTGGGTGGAAGAAGGGCCCTAGATTCCATTCCTTATTTCATAGTGTCAGATCATGGGATTTGTTCTTTGGAGAAGCACCATCATTCTGTAACAGAGAGGGCTAAAGACCCTTTAAAACTATAACTCCTGTGATATCACAGCCTTGAGCCATGGTGATGAAAGTGGTGTCAAGGGCCCTTCCACACCGCCCTATATGCCAGAATATTAAGTCAGTGTGGATTCAGATAACCCAGTTCAAAGCAGATATTGTGGGATTTTTCTGCCTTGATATTCTGGGATATAGGGCTGTGTGGAAGGGCCCTTGGCACCACTTTCATCACCATGGCTCAAGGCTGTGATATCATGGGAGTTATAGTCATCATTTTTGCAGACGACACCAAATTGGGAGGGATAGCCAATATTCCAGAAGACAGGAGAAGAATTCAAAACGATTTTCACAGATTAGAGAGATGGGCCAAAACGAACAAAATGAAGTTCAACAGTGACAAATGAAAGATACTCCACTTAGGCAGGAGAAATGAAATGCAAAGATACAGAATAGAGGACGCCTGGCTCAAGAGCAATACGTGTGAAAAAGATCTTGGAGTCTTCATGGACAATAAGTTAAACATGAGCCAACAATGTGATGTGGCGGCAAAAAAAAAAAAAAGCCAATGGGATTTTGGCCTGCATCAATAAGAGTAGAGTGAAGTCATGCTACCCCTCTATTGTTGATTGTTGGCAGCCTTGGCCTTTGTAAGCCGCATTGAGTCCTACTGGAGATTTTGCGGGGTATAAATAAAGTTAATAATAGTTAATAATAATAATATTCTTTCTTGGTTAGAGCACACCTGGAATACTGTGTCCAATTCTGGGCACCAAAATTGAAGAGATATTGACAAGCTGGAATGTGTCCAGAGGAGGGCAACTAAAATGATCAAGGGTCTGGAGAACAGGCCCTATGAGGAGTGGCTTAAGGAGCTGGGCATGTTTAGCCTGAATAAGAGAAGGCTGAGAGGAGATATGATAGCCATGTATAAATACATGAGAGGAAGTCACAGGGAGGAGGGAGCAAGCTTGATTTCTGCTGCCCTGGAGACTAGGACGCAAGGGAACAATGGCTTCAAACTTCAAGAAAGGAGATTCCAGCTGAACATGAGGAAGAACTTCCTGACTGCGAGAGCTGTTCAGCAGTGGAACTCTCTGCCCTGGAGTGTGGTGGAGGCTCTTTCTTTGGAAGCTTTTAAACAGAGGCTGGATGGCCATCTGTCAGGGGTGCTTTGAATGCAAGTTTTCGGCTTCTTGGAAGGGGGTTGGACTGGATGGCCCAGGAGGTCTCTTCCAACTCATTGATTCTATGATTCTACAACGTGGAACAATGACTTCAAACTACGAGAAAGGAGATTCCATCTGAACATGAGGAAGAACTTCCTGACTGTGAGAGCCGTTCAGCAGTGGAACTCTCTGCCCTGGAGTGTGGTGGAGGCTCCTTCTTTGGAAGCTTTTAAACAGAGGCTGGATGGCCATCTGTCAGGAGTGCTCTGAATGCAATTTTCCTGCTTCTTGGCAGGGGGTTGGACTGGATGGCCCATGAGGTCTCTTCCAAATCTATGATTCTATTGTAATGTCAAGGGGAAACCTTTACCTGCGGGCCCTTCCACACAGCCCTATATCCCAGAATATCAAGGCAGGAAATCCTACACTATCTATGTGTGGACTCAGATAACCCAGTTCAAAGCAGATATTGTGGAATTTTCTGCCTTGATATTCTGGGATGTGTGGATAGGGCCCAAGGTGCATTCATCTCTCCTCCACAGGAAGAATGAGACCTTTCCTAGGCCCTTCCAGCCTTATTAACCACGGCCACTGGGCGTCACGTATGCTTAACGTCACGCGACCGGGGCCCTCGCTGATTGGCCGCCGTCGGGATGACGTAGCCCAAGAGGAAGAGACGGAGGCAAGAAGAGCGGAGTGGGCACGTCGGGTGGAGAGGTCAGTCGAGCCACCGGAGGGGGGTGGGGAGGGTTCTCCGTTGCCATGGGGATCACCTATAGGGCCTATTCTTCCCGCTCAAGAGAGATCCTGTGTTTCTTAGATATGGGGACACTGGGGGCAGAGGCAGCCTCCCAGTCCCAGAATCCCACCCTCAAGAGGGCTTCCCAGGGAAGTCATGCTTCCCATGCTCTATTCTGCTCTGGTTAGACCGCACCTGGAATATTGTGTCCCATTCTGGGCGCCACAGTTCAAGAGAGATGTTGACAAGCTGGAATGTGCCCAGAGGAGGGCGACTAAAATGATCCAGGGTCTGGAGAACAAACCCTATGAGCAGAGGCTTAAAGAGCTGGGCATGTTTAGCCTAAAGAAGAAAAGGCTGAGGGGGGATATGTATAAATATGTGAGAGGAAGTCACAGGGAGGAGGGAGCAAGCTTGTTTTCTGCTTCCCTGGAGACTAGGACACGGAAAAATCTCCAGAGCGTCTATATCCAGGGATGTCATGCTACCCCTTTATTCTGCCTTGGTTAGACCTCACCTGGAATATTGTGTCCAATTCTGGGCACCACAATTGAAGAGAGATATTGACAAGCTGGAATGTGTCCAGAGGAGGGCGACTAAAATGATCTAGGGTCTGGAGAACAAGCCCTATGAGGAGCGGTAGTATAAGTCATGTATTAATGCATGATATAAATATTGCAAATAAATAAATATTGCAAATAAATAAATAAATATATTCTAAAATACTGACTTTACAAATTGTACAATAATATTGCTAAAAATCTATATTTTAAAAAAGCAGATTCATGGATAGATAGATAGATAGATAGATAGATAGATAGATAGATAGATTTTATTTACATACTATTACTTACTTACTTAGGCGATCCCTCGTTGGACGAGTAAGATGGTCTTCCATGATGGGTTTCCTTGTGGATTCATAGGTGGCTGTGGAGCCCTATTCTTGACCCGCGTCTTCTCCCGCAGTGAAGGCATTGGTTTCCAGGTGGAAGGCGGTCCCGGTCGGGGTTGGCTTGACGCGCCTTCCTCCTGGCACGTTTCTCTCTTTCACCCTCCACTCGTGCCTCCTCGAATTCTGCAGCACTGCTGGTCACAGCTGGCCTCCAGCTGGAGCGCTCAAGGGCCAGGGCTTCCCAGTTCTCAGTGTCTATGCCAGAGTTTTTAAGGTTGGCTTTGAGCTCATCTTTAAATCTCTTTTCCTGGCCACCAACGTTCTGTTTTCCGTTCTTAAGTTCAGAGTAGAGCAACTGCTTAGGGAGATGGTGGTCAGGCATCCGGACAACGTGGCCGGCCCAGCGGAGTTGATGGCAGAGGACCATCGCTTCAATGCTGATGGTCTTTCCTTCTTCCAGCACGCTGACGCTTGTCTTCCCAAGAGATTTGCAGGATTTTCTGGAGGCAGCACTGATGGAATCGTTCCAGGAGTTGCATGATATATCTGTAGACAGTCCACGTTTCGCAGGCATATAGCAGGGTTGGGAGGACAATAGCTTTATAGACAAGCACCTTGGTATCCCTACGGATGTCCCGGTCCTCAAACACTCTCTGCTTCATTTGGGGAAATGCTGCACTTACAGAGCTCAGGCGGTGTTGTATTTCGGTGTTGATGTTGACTTTGGTGGAGAGGTGGCTGCCAAGGTAGCCACCTCTCCAACTTCCATTGACACAAAACAGTGAACATTTTACAAACACATAACCCTACCACCAAAGTCTGAACAAGTATCCTTTCCTTCGCCATATATTTATAAATCAACCATTTATCAAATGTCATATCCAAAATTCCTGACCAGCAAGGTTATATTATTTTCCATTTTCATTCTCTAAGAAATATTTAATAAAGACCAACCAGTAGGTCTCAAAATCTGATTTGTTAGTTTCTCCCCTGAATACCCTTATTTCCATTGTTAGTTTATCATTTAACGCTCCGTTCCATACCTCCCTATATGATGCTTCCAGTGTTAGATTAGTTACTATTTTCCAGTTCCTTGCTATTATAATTCTTGCCACTGTGAAGAAAAAAAGCAGATTCTGACGGAGGGATTGGCTGGCTACTCTTTCAAATTCTCCCAAAATGCTTGTTATAAACCCATCTCTCCTATTCCTCTCTTAGGCTGCTTGTTCCAGCTGCTCATCTAGACCTTCATCACCATGGTGAGTTTATGTTGTCTTATAATATCTCCACAATCAGAGGATTATGTTGTTACACACACATACCATAAACATGCCCCATTTTTGTCATTGTGTGCTATGGCCACTCAAGGCCTGTTCTCATCCTCACTCAAAGTGACCTTCATGTCAAGGAAGCAGATGTCTCAATGTAGTCCATGACTGTGAGCAATTGCTTCATCTTTAGTGGAAAGTGTTACATCTCGGGGGGGGGGGGGATTCTTTGCCTGAACCAGTGATTTCATGCTATGTGTGGCCATCAGGATTTGTGCACTGGCTCACATTGCAGTCACAATGCGCACAAGTCCCCCAATTACTTTTTAAACACGTACGCACACACATTCACTCTTTGGCTGGACTTGACCCCTCTTTCCCAATAAACGATTACCAAATGAAAACTTTTGTGGGGTTTGTATAAGTTTGATCTACATCTATTGCTTAAATGATGTGCCTGCCTGAACTAGGCCATAGAGATGGGGAAAGGGTTGTGTCCTGGAGTCATTTGACTAGCGCTTGGACAGATTCCATTTTTAGACTGCTGTTTCCAGATCTCCTAACCAGCACAGCCACTAGGAGTTTTCTTCACACTTTCTCTATCTTTCCATGCTAAAAGCCTGCTTATTGTTGTAGCGCATTCATGCATTTTGAATTGCCTGAGGTAAGATCAAAGATAAGATCAAGGAACAGAACACTAATGTTTTCTTTATTGACTTACAGGGAGAAAGAAAAGGAGTCAATAAGTATTATCCACCTGATTTTGATCCTGCCAAGGTAAGAGAGAATCCAGACTTTTCACATCAGCTCTGTACATCCAGTGATGTGCTGCATGCATTTCCTAATGACAAGATAGGGTATTATTGAGATGAACTTAAAACAGGTCTAGAAAGTATATTTTTCCCTTTCTATATTGTTTGCACTATAGGTAGAGGACATTTTGGCACCTCCAGAATTTTTTTTTTGCCTCCCATTTATCACAAGCCTCACTCAGCATAGCCAGCAGTGGAGTTATAGATCAATTATGTATTATGTCTTACGATATGGAGCACAATATAAATGTTTTGATAATTTAAAAAAGGAATAGATTCTTCATCCTTGGCATATGCTACGCTGATGTTGAACTGAGTTCTGACTTATCTTAAGTTCACCAAGCCAGAAACACAGGGAAAATATCCTAGAATATTTAACTCTTGGTTGAGAATCCAGAAGCCACCATATGTCTATTATGAACTGTCAGTATCCACCAGTTTCTGGAAATAGTGTTCTGTCCATTGGCATGCTCATTGAGGAGTTGAAAAGTGGATGTGTCAAGGTTCCCCCTTTGCCAGGGACAGATTATTTTTCTTCACTCTGAGGCCAGATCTACACTGCCATATAATCCAGTTTCTGATTCCAGATTATCTGCTTTGAACTGGATTATATGAGTCTACAGTTCCATATAGAGTTCATATTATATGAGTCTAAAGTTCCACATTACCGCCTTCGTCACAAGTACGTTTGGCAGAGACGAGAGACAGGGCCTTCTCGGTGGTGGCCCCTCGGCTGTGGAACACCCTCCCTATAGATATTAGATCAGCCACCTCCCTTTTAACATTCTGAAAAAAAGAGAAGACGTGGCTTTTTGAACAAGCGTTTGCAAATGCAGAGTAACTGACACAGGAAAATGAAACGACTCGACAATGCGTTTTTAACAAGGAGACACTATGAATTTATATTTTATTGATTCGTTTAGTTTTTATTATATGTTATGTTTTTAATTGTATTAAGACATTGTAAGCATTGAATTTTGCCTTGTTAGCCGCCTTGAGTTGCCTGCGGGCTGAGAAAGGCAGTATACAAATACAGTAAATAATATAATATAATATAATATAATATAATATAATATAATATAATATAATATAATATAATCCAGGACATAGCAGATGATCTGGATTCAGAAACTGGATTATGTGGCAGTGTAGATGGGGCCTGAGAAATCCAGTGCTGATGTAACTTTGGGTTTATCACATAATAACTGATTGTGTGTACAACATGTCCTTCATATATGGTCAATGAAACAGATTTGGGGATGAGGGTTTTGGGAGGACAAACTGCCTTCTGCTATAGGTTTCAAATGCAGTTTCTTCAAAGATCGCATTTTAATTTTTTTAATGGGGTGCTCAGAGGGTTGCAAAAGTGAGAGTTTGGGAGTTGGACCTTCCCCATTTCTAGCTGAGTACCTGCCTTCTCTTTCCTCTTGCAGCATGGCTCTCTTAATAAGTACCGCAACAGCCACCCATTGCGGGAAAGAGCACGCAAGCTCTCCCAAGGCATCCTCATCATCAGGTAAGGACACCTAAACATCACCCTTTGCATACTTGCCACTTAAAAGAGACCAAGATGGATTCCTTGGTGATGAGATCAAGGAAGTCTCCATTCACAGTTGTTTTAGCAAGGAAGTACCACTTTTTTTTCTCTGTGAGGCTTGCATATCAGAACAGAACATGCTCTAGATTCACCAGGTTATATGCAGGCATCACATGGGGCTTACTTTCAAAGTCACTGAAGCAGGTAGATGTCTCTATGGCATGCAGTAAACTTCCCTTGGCTTCTTTTTTTAAAGGTTTGAGATGCCTTATAACATCTGGTGTGATGGCTGCCAGAACCACATTGGCATGGGTAAGTCTGAGATGAACCCTCCAAACAAACTTTCAAAGTAATCTGTGAAAAGAACTTGAAGTCTTTTCGAGATGAGGGGTGGTGGGCACAGAAGTGAGTTTGAATTCATAACATGGAAAAAAGAATGCTGCCAGTCTGTCCAATATCCTAAATTTCACCTTTTCTCTTTAGTTTTCTTGTTGTTCATTCGTTCAGTCGTCTCCGACTCTTCGTGACCTCATGGACCAGCCCACGCCAGAGCTCCCTGTCGGCCGTTACCACCCCCAGCTCCTTCAAGGTCAATCCAGTCACTTCAAGGATGCCATCCATCCATCTTGCCCTTGGTCGGCCCCTCTTCCTTTTTCCTTCCACTTTCCCCAGCATCATTGTCTTCTCTAGGCTTTGCTGTCTCCTCATGATGTGGCCAAAGTACTTCAACTTTGTCTCTAGTATCCTTCCCTCCAGTGAGCAGTCGGGCTTTATTTCCTGGAGGATGGACTGGTTGGATCTTCTCGCGGTCCAAGGCACTCTCAGAACTTTCCTCCAACACCACAGCTCAAAAGCATCTATCTTCCTTCGCTCAGCCTTCCCTATGGTCCAGCTCTCACATCCATAGGTTACTATGGGGAATACCATTGCTTTCTCTATGCAGATCTTCATTGCCAGTGTGATGTCTCTCCTCTTCACTATTTTATCGAGATTGGACATTGCTCTCCTCCCAAGAAGTAAGCGTCTTCTGATTTCCTGGCCACAGTCTGCATCTGCAGTAATCTTTGCACCTAGAAATACAAAGTCTGTCACGGCCTCCACAGTTTTCTCCCTCTATTTTCCAGTTGTCAATCATTCTTGTTGCCATAATCTTGGTTTTTTTGATGTTTAGCTGCAACCCGGCTTTTGCGCTCTTCTTTCACCTTGATTAGAAGGCTCCTCAGCTCTTCCTCGCTTTCGGCCATCAGAGTGGTGTCATCTGCATATCTGAGGTTGTTAGTTTTCTAGTATTAGACATAATGACATACTGCTCAGATACCTGGCACCTTGGGCTGGGTTGGGAAGAAACATGAGAAGGAAGGCATGAATTTTACACTAAGTAATATGTTGCACTCTGGTGGCACAGCGGGTTAAACCGCTGAGCTGCAGAACTTGCTGACTGAATTTGGCAATTTGAATCTGGAAAGCGGGGTTGGCTCCCACTGTTAGGCTCAAATACCTGGCACCTTGGGCTGGGTTGGGAAGAAACATGAGAAGGAATAATAATAATAATAATAATAATCTTTATTTATACACCGCTACCATTTCCCTGATGGGGACTCGGGGTGGCTTATATGAGGCCAAGCCCAAACAACAAATTACATAAAATAAAACCAAAAACCGAAAACGCATACAATAAACAACATTATAATTACATAAAACATATGAATGCATAGCAATATAAAATTACAATAATTAATTTTACACTTAGTAATATGTTTCACTCTGGTAGCACAGTGGGTTAAACCGCCGAGCTGCAGAACTTGCTGACTGAAAGGTTGACAATTTGAATCCAGGAAGCAGGGTTAGCTCCCACTGTTAGGCCCAGCTTCTGCCAACCTAGCAGTTTGAAAACATGCAAGTGTGAGTAGATCAATAGTTATCGCTTCTACAGGAAGGTAATGGGAGCTCCATGCAGTCATGCCATCCACATGACTTTGGAGGCATCTACGGACAACGTCGGCTCTTTGGCTTAGAAATGGAGATGAGCACCAGCCCCAAGAGTCGGGCACACCTAGATTTAATGTCAGGGGAAACCTTTACCTTTACTTTAATATCATAAAAGCAAATGTAGTTGATGGAGACAAGAGGAGTGGGCTTTAGGACAGTGGTTCTCAACCTGGGATCCCAGATGTTTTTGGCCTTCAACTCCCAGAAATCCTAACAGCTGATAAACTGGAGTTGTAGGCCAAAAATATCTGGGGACCCAGGTTGAGAACCACTGCTTTAGGACCTCTGAGCTTTCTTCTCAGTTTAAGAGGGAAGTTTAAGAGGGACTGAGAATGAGAACACTGAGGGACCTTTGCCTCTGCTATCTTACCGTTTTGATAATTTCACTATGTAACATGATTTTTGTTCCTGGGTTATAAATGTCATTTCCTAATTGGTTCTATCATAAAAACATGGGAAAAGTTTATTAAACTGCAAAAACTTTGTTTTTGCGGGACAACCTGCAGTACATTTTGCTATAGTTTTTCAGTGAATATCTCATTAGTCTCAACCAATACAGCATAGTCTATGACAGCTACGAAAACGAAGTTTCTGAAGTATAACAAATACTTTCAAAGTAAGTAGGTAAAGGTAAAGGTAGTCCCCTGACATTAAGTCCAGTCATGTCTGACTCTGGGGTGTGGTGCTCATCTCCATTTCTAAGCCAAAGAGCCAGCGTTGTCCGTAGACACCTCCAAGATCATGTGGCCGGCATGACTGCATGGAGCGCTGTAAGTAAGTACTGCACAATTAAACAGGAAATAACACTTTCAAACCAGGAACAGATTTATTTCTCAAATTTTGTTACATAGTGTTTTGATAAGGCATGTTAAAAAAATGGATTATATTTTGCATATTGAGAATAAATAACTCTCATGACTGGTAGTTATAGGATTGTGATCAGAAAAACTGTTGTAGGTATGTACACAAATGGCATGTCCTTCTTCACCCTCTTTGCCACAGGTGTCCGTTACAACGCAGAGAAGAAGAAAGTTGGCAATTATTACACAACCCCCATCTACAGGTTTGTAATGTGAAAGCTGAGGGGTTGTACTGTCTTTAGTGGCACTTTGGCACTGGGCTATTGTTGGAGGTTGGCAAGAGGATGGATTTTAACTGTGAATATTTTAGGGCTGTTTGTGTTTTATTTTGTTTGTAATGTTTGTATATTTGTATATTTTAAATTGTATACTTTTATGTCAGGCTACTTTGTGTCCCCTTTGGGGAGATAAAGCACGGTATTACTACTACTACTACTACTACTACTACTACTACTACTAATCTATATAAATAAAATGTAATGTTCATTTGTGGGATTAACAGAATCAGAAACCACTGGACAAATTGACACCAAATTTGGACACAAGACACCTGATAACCCAATGTATGCCCTTCACTAAAAAAAATGATTTTTTTTTCATTTGGGAGTTGTAGTTGCTGGGATTTACAGTTCACCTACAATCAAAGAGCATTCTGAACCCCACCAACGATGGAATTGAACCAAACTTGGCACACAGTTCTCCCATGACCAACAGAAAATACTGGAAGGGTTTGGTGGGCAGTGTCCTTTGGTTTCGGAATTGTAGTTCACCTACATCCAGAGATCACAGTGGACTCAAACAATAATGGATGTGGACCAAACTCTACACAAATACTCAATATGCCCAAATATGAACACTGGTTGAGTTTGGGAGAAATAAAATCTTGACATTTGGGAGTTGTAGTTGCTGGGATTTATAGTTCACCTACAATCACAGAGTATTCTGAACCCCACCAACGATAGAACTGGGCCAAACCTCCCACACAGAACCCATATATGGGCCACAGCAACGCATGACAGGGAACGGCTAGTAATAATAATAATAGGAGACAGCATCTAAACAGCCTATATTTAATTTTTTCCCACATTTCCAATGATAGATTAATTTTGTGACCAGGCAAACAAATGTAACTCTGCGTATACTTGAATGTAAGTCTGGATCTGTGAGCTTGGAAAAAAGAATCATCCCTCAATGACTACTGATTCTCCTTCTGTCCTCTAAAATCTGCCTGTGCCCACAAAGATTACCCACAGTGCTCACTTAGCAATCATTTAGAAGAAGCAGGCTTTGCATCTTCTTTGGCCCCTTCCACACAGCTGAATAAAATCCTACATTTTCTGCTTTGAGCTGGAATATATGACAGTATGAACTCAGATAACCCAGTTTAAAGCAGATGTTGTGTGATTTTCTGTCTTGATATTCTGGATTATATGGCTGTATGGAAAGGCCCTGAGTGTGCTTTTGCAAAAGATGTAGCTCCAAACCTAATGAAAGGTTCAATTCTATGGCCTTGAGGCTCTCCTTATTCTGAAAACTGTATCAATTTCCTGTAGAGCACAACCTGCTGTGCAGACATAAGCCACCCTAAAGGGCAGCTTGGTTTCCTTTGGAAGATACAGCAGTTCAGTATAGTCCTTGATGTTTTGGTTCTCAACCTTTGACCTTCCAGACCTTTTTGGACTTCTATAATCCCTGGACATTTTGACCAGGGCTTTTGGGAGCCTAAAGTTTGAGAGCCTCTGCTACAGTATGGCCCTGGGTGTCTTCCCAGGCATTTCCCACTCATAGACACAATAGTGGATGGTTCTCCTCCAGTCTTTCTGATTGTGTCACCATCTGCCTTGCAGGTTTCGTATGAAGTGCCACCTTTGCCCCAACCACATTGAGATGCAGACAGACCCTGCCAGCTGTGACTATGTCATTGTCAGTGGTGCACGGCGCAAGGAAGAGCGTTGGGATGGGGAAGCCAATGAGCAGATCCTGACTACAGGTGAGCCAAGGGAGGAGTACCCATCGTGCTGTTGGGACCCTTGATGGCTCATCTGGCTTGGCCCAACCTTCCTCATACCTGTGTTTGTGTGCTCTCAGCTCATGAGGAGAAGCAGAAGTTGGAGACGGATGCCATGTATCGGCTGGAACATGGCTCAAAGGATCAGAGCAAACTCCAGCGAGCCCTCCCCACCCTGCAGAACATCCAGGAGGCCCAGAGTGCTTGGAAGGATGACTTTGCCCTCAACAGCCTACTTCGCCGAAAATTCAGGGTAAGCCAGTGGGAGGCAGGGAAGGATAATAATTTGGTTGGTCGTGTCTGGAGTGACTTGAGAAACTGCAAGTCGCTTCTGGTGTGAGAGAATTGGCCGTCTGCAAAGACGTTGCCCAGGGGACGCCTGGATGATTTGATGTTTTTATCATCCTTGTGGGAGGCTTCTCTCATGTCCCCGTATAAGGAGCTGGAGCTGATAGAGGGAGCTCATCCACCTCTCCCCGGATTCGAACCTGCGACCTGTTGGTCTTCAGTCCTACCAGCTCACGGGTTTAACCCACTGCACACCGGGGGCTCATAATAATAATAATAATCATCATCATCATCATTATTTATACCCCGCCATCATCTCCCCAACGGGGACTCGGGGCAGCTTACATGAGGCCAAGCCCAGACAACATATTACCGCAAAATAAAACCAAAAACACAGCAGCAAGCAAAAACATCATAATTACATAAAAACATATGAATATATCAACATTTCTCTTCACTGCTTTAGAACAAATTGGTTCACAGACGAAGCGGAACAAGACAGAAACACAAATGCATTTCTCTTAATGAGTTTTTAAAAAACAAAAACAGAACAGTCAGAACATTAAATAACCTGTACTTAATTAACCAAGAACTATAATGGATTCAATTTAAATAAAGAGTAGGTATTCCCCTGAAATATTTACGATGAAGTTACCAGTTCCTTAACTTCCCAAGCGTCTAGGACTGTGTGATGTATTTTCGAATGATGGGCACAGATCCAAGTAAGGTGGCCTTTTGCAGTTGACAGATCGTGATTTTATCAATGTTTATTGTTTCCAAATGCCGGCTGAGATCTTTTGGCATGGCGCCCAGTGCACCAATGACCACTGGGACCACCTGTACTGGTTTATGCCAGAGCCTTTGCAGTTCAATTTTGAGTTCTTGAGTTTTTCCTGTTGTTTTTCCTCAATGCGACTGTCACCTGGAATGGTGACATCAATAATCCAGACTTTTTTCTTTTCCACAATTGTGATGTCTGGTGTATTGTGTTCCAAAACTTCGTCAGTCTGGATTCAAAAGTCCCACAGTATTTTTGCATGTTCATTTTCCATGACCTTTGCGGGTTTATGATCCCACCAATTCTTGACTGCTGGCAGGTGGTACTTGTGTCAGAAGTTCCAGTGAATCATCTGGGCCACAGAGTTGTGTCTTTGTTTGTAGTCCGTCTGTTCGGTTTTCTTGCAACAGCTGAGGATATGGTCCATGGTTTCATCAGCTTCCTTGCAGAGTCTGCATTTTGGGTAATCCATTGATTTTTCAATCCTGGCCTTAATGGCATTGGTTCTAATGGCTTGCTCCTTGGCTGCAAGAATCAGGCCTTCTGTCTCCTTCTTCAGGGTTCCATTCGTGAGCCATAACCAGGTCTTCTCCTCATCAACTTTTCCTTCAATCTTCTCTGGGAATTGCCCATGCAAGGCTTTGTTGTGCCAGCTGTCAGCTCTGGTTTGTAGTGCAATTTTCTTGTACTGACTCTTTGTCTGCTGTGCTTTGAGAAGTTTCCGATTATTGACTTCAATTAAAGCAGGTTCTTGGCTTTCCTTTACATATTCTGCCAGGGTGTTTTTCTTCTTCGACTGCTTGTTTTAATAATAATAATAATTAATAATAATAATAATAATAATAATAATTATTATTATTATTATTATTATGGTTCATTTTTAGACCACCCTCTCTCCCCGAAGGGACTCAGGGCAGTTTACACACACAAAAAGGCAAGCATTCAATGCCTCAGATGAATACAAACATATCAAAATAATCCATAATAAAGCAACAGTGATAACAGTGAGGTAATGGATTTTGAAAATATCCCAGATTTTGTGATCCTAGATTTTGAATGTATCTCATTTTCTCCCTTGCCTTTGCCATAGGAAGAGAAGAAGGTCATACAAGAGGAGGAAAAGAAGGATCTCGCCTTGCAGAAAAAAGCAAATTTGTGCATCCCTCTTGTACGGGAGTCTGATGAAGATCGGCATCTGGCAGCGCTGCTCAAATATCAGAGCCTTGGCTGTATGTTGAAATTGAACTGTTGTGGTTTTTCATGGGGGCAGAGGATGCAAGTGCAAGGATATAAGAATTTTCCAGGAGATAATATGCTGATAATTGTAGTACTATGACTCCATTGTTAGCCGCCGTGATGCCACCCCATTGAATCCTGGGATTTGCCACGTAGGGAGTGGCCTTTTAATTTCACAACAAGAGAGCATCTCCTTTGGGTACCTTTCAGCAAACTACAAGTCCCAGGATTCCATAGGAAGGAGTTGTGAAGTAGAATCATGGTGCCGGTGGTGCAGTGGGTTAAACCCCTGTGCCGGCATGACTGAAGACCAACAAGTCGCAGGTTCGAATCCGGGGAGAGGCGGATGAGCTCCCTCTATCAGCTCCAGCTCCTCATGCGGGGACATGAGAGAAGCCTCCCACAAGGATGATAAAAACATCAAATCATCCAGGCGTCCCCTGGGCAACGTCCTTGCAGATGGCCAATTCTCTCACACCAGAAGCGACTTGCAGTTTCTCAAGTCGCTCCTGACACACCAAAAAAAAAAAGTGTGAAAGGGCCCCTGGTCAGTTGTCAAAAGACTGTTTTCTGAAGAAAACCTTTCTGCTTTCCTTTATAACATTGCCAAGGAAGTTATTATTATTATTATAACTTTATTTGTACCCCGCTAGCATCTCCCAAGGGATTCGATGCGGCTTACAACGGGCCAAAGCCCACACAATACAACAATACAGTACCTAGCAAATAAACAGTTAAGCAAAAACAATAACAAAAGCAGTACAACAAGATATTATTAAAACTGAGCCGGCCAGAGTAGGGGTACAGGATTAAAAGTGCTGATGTGTTGGAGGGATATGGGATTATAGTATAAGTGCGGTGTGCGGTGATCTTGGTTCTAACTAAAGTGCTTCTGGGATTTGGGGTTCCTAGTCTGAGTAGGCACAATGGAACAGCCAGGTTTTCATATTCTCCCTGAAGACTGCCAGTGTAGGGGCTTGTCTGAGGTCTTTCGGGAGGTCATTCCAGAGGCGGGGGGCCACCACAGAGAAGGCCCTGTCTCGTGTCCCCACCAAGCGCGCTTGTGACGCGGGCGGGATCACGAGCAGGGTCTCTCCAGATGACCGGAGTGAACATGTGGGTTCGTAGACAACGATACGGTCACGCAGGTAGGGTGGTCCCAAACCGTTCAGGGCTTTGTAGGTAGGCACCTGCACCTTAAATTGGGCTCGGAAAATAAACGGCAGCCAGTGGAGCTCCTTAAACAGGAGGGTTGACCTCTCTCTGTAATGGGCCCCAGTTAACATCCTGGCTGCTGCCCGTTGGACCAATTGGAGTTTCCGAGCCATTTTCAAGGGCAGCCCCACGTAGAGCGCATTGCAGTAATCCAGTCTGGAGGTGACTAAGGCGTGGACCACCCCGGCCAGATCAGCCTTAGCGAGGTACGGTCGTAGCTGGCGCACAAGTCTCAGTTGTGCAAAGGCCCTCCTGGACACCACCGACGCCTGAGCCTCAGGCGTGAGCGATGAGTCCAGGAGGACTCCCAAGCTACGGACCTGTGACTTCAGGGGGAGTGTAACCCCGTCCAACACAGGTTGCCACCCTATACCCCGATCTGGTTTACGATCGACCAGGAGGACCTCTGTCTTGTCGGGATTGATTTTCAGCTTGTTCGTCCTCATCCAGATAGACACAGCGGCCAGGCACTCGTCTAGCACCCGAGAGGCCTCCTTGGAATTAGGTGGAAAAGAGTAGTAGAGTTGTGTGTCATCTGCATAGAGATGGCACCCAACTCCAAAACTCCGGATGACCTCTCCCAGCGGTTTCATGTAGATGTTAAAAAGCATGGGAGATAGAATAGAGCCTTGCAGGACCCCACAGGTCAAGGGCCAGGGGTCCGAGCAGGCATCTCCCAGCTTCACCATCTGGGTTCTGGGTTCGTCCCTCCAGGAAGGACCGGAGCCACGACAGCACCGAGCCCCCGAGACCCATCCCAGAGAGGCGACCCAGAAGGATACCATGATCGATGGTATCGAAAGCCGCTGAGATGTCCAAGAGAACCAGCAGGGTCACACTCCCCCTGTCCAGTCCTCTACGGAGGTCATCCACCAAGGCGACCAAGGCTGTCTCGGTGCCATGACCAGGCCTGAAACCTGACTGTGCCTGATCTAGGTAATTGATGTCATCCAGGAAGCCCTGGAGCTGGAGGGCGACCACCCGCTCCAGCACCTTACCCAAAAAAGGGAGGTTGGAGATCGGCCTGTAATTGTTCAGCACCGTAGAGTCAAGGGAAGACTTTTTAAGGAGTGGGCGAACCACAGCCTGTTTTAAGTTAGATGGAAAAATCCCTTGCTCCAACGATGCGTTAATGATCAACACAAACCAATCAACCAACCCCTCCTTGGCAGATTTAATAAGCCAGGATGGGCAAGGGTCTAGGGCCGAAGTGGTCGCCCTCACAGCCCCAAGGACCTCCTCCACGGTCTCAGGAAGAACAAGCCGAAAAGAATCCCACAAAATTTGACAAGCAGAAGCCTCAGTCACCTCCCTGGCACTGCGATGAAATTGGAGTCGAGCTCAAGACGTATCTGGGCAACTTTGCCTGCAAAATGGTGTGCGAAATCGCAACACCGAGCTGCTGGGTCGTCCGAGATCTCCTCCACCACAGGTGGGTGAAGGAGCTCCCCAACAACCCGAAACAGCTCTGATGACCTATTTGCTGCAGACGCTATACGGGTGGTCGTGAAAGATTCCCTGGCCACCTGTATAGCCACGGAGTATGCCTTAAGAGAGGCTCTAGCCCGTGCTTGATCAGACACGTCCCGAGATCTTCTCCACTTGCGCTCTAGCCTCCTTCTCGTGTGCTTCATCACAGCCAACTCCTCGGTGAACCATGGAGACGGCCTGTCATGACGCAACGAGATGGGGCGTTCGGGAGCGATCGTATTTATCGCCCTGGACATCTCCTTGTTGTAAAGGTCGACCAAGGCGTCAACAGGATCGCCAGGCTCCATGGCAGGAAGAACCCCAAGATTCCTCAGGAATCCAGTTGAGGCGCAGCTGTCCATAAGTCAGTGGCTGGACACAAGTTTTACATACAGAAGGTCCCTTGACATTCCTAGTTGAAAGTAGAGGATAATGGGAAAGATTATTTTCTCTGACAGAGATTTCAGAAAGCCATTGTTAAGAGTAGACAATATTGGTTTCCATGGACAAATAATATAAGATGATATAAAAGTGTTTCCTGTGTTCTTGTACTGGAAGAGCCAGTGTGGTAACACATTTAGGATGCTGGACTGTGGCCTGGGAATAATTATGTACATTTTCTGAGGAAAATACCACTTTGATTTCCCTTAGGGGCAGAAAAGCAGTATGAGAAGGGCGGCATATAAATGTTGAAAATAAATAAATAATAAATAAATGTAGTAAATAAAAAACCAGAACATTTCCCACTAAATAGCATGTTTCGTTTAAATATTATATTCAAACATGCTGAAACTTCCAATCTGGATTGGAGAATCTGTGGTTGCTGCACATGGTGGGGGAAGCTCAAAAATGGCAGTGGCCGCATTCCTGCCATATGTAGCAACTGTATGAAAGCATTAAGGGCAACATGGTAGAAGGAAATCCATTCATCAAGATTCATAGACTTAATGCACTCCCAATGGTGAGGTGAAGGGGCGCCTCACCGGGAAGGTGTAAGTGAAGGGCGGAGCAAGCTGCAGGCATCCGGGGCACCTGGGGTATGGAAAAAAGAGATAGAGTGGTTTTGGGCTCAGAAAAACATACCTCCTTTACCTTTCTGGCCCGCCCTTGTGTCCTATTACCGTACCTCCTCCTCTGCCTCTCAGATCTCTCTCCTGAAGACTGCAGGGAAGCGGTGCAGGTGCGCATGTGCGAGATCTGAGAGGCAGAGAAGGAGGTACAGTAATAGGAAAATTACCATATTGAAATCAAATCTGATGCTTTTAAAAAAAATTATTTGGTGTGCGTTGGAAGAGGAGTAGTCTTATATGGCGAGTATATCCCAAACACTATATTTTAACTGGAAAAGGTGGGGGTTGTCTTATACGCCCAGTCATCATATATGCAGGAATATACGGTACTTAAGTGGACAGTGAGCTGGGCTGAAGGTCGGGTGCTCACCCAGACCAGGGTTTCAAACTGCCAACCTTTTGATTGGTGTGGTCGATTGTTGCTGGTGATTAACCAGCTGTGCTAAAGCCTGGTCCTAGGTTCTTAGATGTGATTATCATGGTTTTCTATGGCTGAGCAGATGAAGCCTGGTAGATGGCATATGTTCTGCATCTCAAAAACTAGAGCTGATTTTGGAAAATTGGTGCCATTTTTGGAATTGGCAAGTCAGATATATCCAGAAACAGGACTAACATTTGAGGCACCAAAAGGTATTTTGGAAAGTATAAGTCCTGCCTTTATTAATAACTCACTCCTGTCTTTCCTTCCAGCCTATGAAGACAAACAGAAGCAAAAGCGAAATGAGATTGCTGACCGCCCATGGTTCTCACCCAGCCAGCCTTCAAACACTAAAGCTAGTGACACTGTGAAAAGGCTGGCCTTCGCTGGAAAATCAACAGCTAGCAAGTCACCAGTAGCTATGAACCGCCTGGGTGTTGTGCGTCGAAAATCAAGGGAGAAGGAACAGTCTGAGATGGAGGAGGAGAACGAGTCTTCCGATCTCACAGCCCAAGTTTGCAGGCAAGACCAGGACAGTCATATCCACGACGTGTCATCCCTCGACTCATCTGTGGGGCCTGAGGGGGGTTCCCAAAAAACTGAAGGAAACCCTACATCCAATGTGGCTGCCTCTTTAGTTGCAGATTATTCAGACTCTGCATCTGATCCCGAAGCTGAACTATGAACAGAGATTGGAGCAAACAAGGGACTGGACTATACCAGTTCAATGACTTCAAAGTGAGACAGTGTGTGTGTGTGTGGGAACGTATCTATGAGCGATTGTCTTTGCATGCTGCTCAGGAGTTACATTCTTCTGCCTCTTATTGGGCTGGACGGAACTCAGTTCCTGGTTATTTAAACACAAACTCTTCCAATAAACAAAAGCACTATCCCCACAGACCTGCTTAGTGTGTTCTTAATAGAGCTTGATTGCTTCACACACAAATATTAGATACATGCAGAGATTCTCAATTATCCTTGCAGACAAGAAAAAAAGTTTGACACACATTTAACAAACAATACTGGATCACTTCAAGACACTCAGAGCCCTTCCACACAGCCCAATATCCCAAAATATCAAGGAAGAAAATCCAACAATATCTACTTTGAAGAGGGTTATCTGAGTCCACACTCAGATAATGTGGGATTTCCTGCCTTGATATTCTGGGACATAGGGCTGCGTAGAAGGGTTCCCAGGTGGGTCGTGAAACAGGATTTCAGGGAAGGAAAAAGGTGGGGAAGAAGGAAGAAAGGAAGAGGGAAAGAAGGGGGGAAGGGAAGGAAATGAAGGAAAAGGAAAAGAAGAAGGGGGAGGGAAGAAAAAGGAAGAAAAGGGGAAGTAGGAAGAAAGGAAAGGAAGGAAATGAAGGAAAAGATGAGGGGAGGGGAAAAGAAGGAAGAAAAAGGGGAAGGAAGAAAAATGGAAAGAAAGGGAAGGAAAAAAATAAAGAGGGAAGGAAAAAGGGAAATAGGAAGAAAGGAATGGAAGAGGGAAAGAAGGGGGAAGGAAGGAAAGGAAATGGAGGAAAAGAAAAAGAAGAGAGGAGGGAAAAGAAGGAAGAAGGGGGAGAATGGGAAGGAAGGGAAAAAAATAAAGGGGAGGAAAAAGGTAGGAAAGTAGGAGGAAGATGGAAGGAAGAGAAGGAAATGAAGGAAAAGGAAAAGGGGGGAAGAAGAAAAAGGAGGAGAAAGAGGGAAGGAAAAAATAAAGGGGAGGAAAAGGGAGCAGGATGAAATAAAAGGAAGAGGGAAGGAAGGAAATGAAGGAAAAGAAGAGGAGTGAAGGGAAAAAGAAAGAAGAAAGGGGAAAGAATGGGAAGGAAGGGAAAAAATGAAGAGGGAAGAAAAAAGGTAGGAAAGGAGGAGGAATGAAAGGAAGAGGGAAAGAAGGGAAGGAAGAGAAGGAAAAGAGGGGAGGGAAAGAAAGAAGAAAAGGGGAAAGAAAGGGAAGGAAGGAAAAAGAAGAAAAAAGGTAGTAGAAAGTAGGAAAAATGGAAAGGAAGAAGGAAAGGGGGAAGGAAGGGAATGAAATGAATCAGGAAAAGAAGAGGGGGGAGGGAAAAGAAAGAAAAGGGGAAGGAAGAAAAAAGGGGGAAAGGAAGAGGCGGGGAAGGAGGAAGGGAAGGAAGGGAAAGGGAAGGAAGAAAGAATGGAAGAAGGAAGAAAGGACAGAAAGGGGGAAGGAAGGGAATGAAATGTAGAAAAAGAAGAGAGGAGGGGAGGGAAAAGGAAAAAAAGGGAAGGAAAAGGAAGGAAGGAAAAAATAAAGAGGTAGGGAAGAAGAAGGGAACGGCAAGGGAAGGAAAGAAAGAATGGAAGAAAGGACGGAAGAAGGAAGGAAGGGGAAAAGGGAAGAAGAAGAGAAAGGGGGAGAAGGGAAAAGAAAGAAGAAAGTAAAGAGGAAAGAGAAGAAGAAAGGAGGGGGAAAGAGAAAGAAGGAAGAAAGAAGGAAAGAAACAGAAGAAAGAAAGGAAAGGAAAAGGAAGGAAGGAAGGAAAGAAAGAGAGAGAGAGAGAGAGAGAGAGACGAATCCCTAAATTCAGGACTGCTCCTAAGAGGCATGCAATCGTCGGTCACCACTGGGCTCTCTGTGGCCTCGATTCCTGTGAGCCACTTGTTTTGCAGCGCGACGCTGCCGCTTCCCTTTCCGGCGTGACGTCAAGGGCGAAGGGGCGGGCGGGCCCTTGACGCTGGGTGTGCTTTCCGGCCGGGCGCAGCTCGGGGCATCACTTGGCGCCATGGCGCAAGGCAAGCAGAAGTTCCAGGCGCGGAAGGCGGGCCCCGCGGGGAAGAAGGCGGCGCCCTCGGCTGCCCGGGGACCTCGGAAAGGAGGTACGGGAGGAGGAAGCGGGGGGGGGGGGGGGGGGGATCTGTGAGATATTCATTGAAAAAATAGAGCAAAATGTGCTGCAGGATGTCACCAAAAAGTTTCATTAAACTTTTACCATGGTTTTTTTTTAATAGAACCAATTAGGAAAGGAAAGTTCAACAGTGGAACTCTCTGCCCTGAAGTGTGGTGGAGGCTCCTTCTTTGGAGGCCTTGAAACAGAAGCTGGATGGCCATCTGTCGGGGGTGCTTTGAATGCAGTTTTCCTGCTTCTTGGCAGGGGGTTGGACTGGATGGTCCATGAGGTCTCTTCCAACTCTATGATTCTGATATTTAGAACCAAGGAACAGAAATTGTGTTACATATACTGTATTCTGGGGGACCCTTCCACACAGAATATCCTATATCCCAGGATATCAAGGCAGAAAATCCCACAATCTCTGCTTAGATTTGGGTGATCTCAGTCCACACTCAAATAATATGGGATTTTCTGCCTTGGTTTTCTGGGATATAGGCCTGTGAGGCAGGACCCTCAGGTAAAGGTAAAGATTTCCCCTTGACGTTAAGAACCCTTCCACACAGCCCTATATCCCAGAATTTCAAGGCAGAAAATCCCACAATGTCTGCTTTGAATTGAGTGATCTGAGTCCACACTGCCATATAATCCAGTTCAAAGCAGAAAATGGGCAAACTTTTTGTGTTCTCCATTGCACTTTTGTTGCCATGTAAGCCATCCCGAATCCCTTTTTGGGAAATGTTGGTAGGATATAAAGAAAGTTATTGTTATTATTTGAAACACAACAAGATGAGTCCACAGCAAACAAGATCACTCTGCTGGCCGTTGTTTTGGATTACACGAAGGACACTTCCCAAGTGTCTAGGATTGCGTGATGTATCCACGAATGATGCATGCTGATCCTAGTAAGGTGGCCTTTTGCAGCTGGCAGATGGTAATTTTGTCAGTGCTGATTGTGTTTAAGTGCAGGCCAAGGTCTTTAGGCACTGAACCCAGTGTGCCAATCACCACTGGGACCACCTTGACTGGCTTGATATGAGGATCTTTAAATCCTCATATCGTGTCAACTTTTCCAGTTGTTTCTCTTCAATCCTGTTGTCACCTGGGATTTCAACATCAACGATCCATACTTTGTTTTTTAACTCGATCGTGAGGTCAGGAGTATTGTGCTCCAAAACTCTGTCTGAATCCGGAAGTCCCAGAGGAGTTTGGCGTGTTCATTCTCTGTAACTCTTTCCAGGTTGTGATCGCACCAGATGTTTGTTGCAGGCAGATGGTATTTGTGGCACAAGTTCCAATGAATCATCTGAGCAACAGTGTTATGCCTCTGATTGTAGTCTGTCTGCGCAATCTTCTTGCAGCAGCTGAGGATGTGATCTACCGTCGACTTTTCAATTCTGGCTTTGATGACATTGGTTCTAGTGGCTTATTCTTGGGCTGCCAGAATCAGGCCCGCTGTCTCCTTTTTCTCCTTTTTATTATTATTTTCATTTTACTGACACAAAAGCACAGTATGTCACAGCAAACGAGATCTATATGCTGGATTTCGTATCAAAAAATCACCAGTCAAACAATCACAAGCGTCTAGGACTGTGTGAAGTATTTTCGAATGATGCGCGCAGATCCAAGTAAGGTGGCCTTTTGCAGTTGACAGATCATGCTTTTGTCAATGTTTATTGTTTCCAAATGCCGGCTGAGATCTTTTGGCATGGCACCCAGTGTGCCGATGACCACTGGGACCACCTGTACTGGTTTATGCCAGAGCCTTTGCAGATTATTATTATTATTATTATTATTATTATTATTATCTATATAAATAAAAATGTAATGTTCTGTGAGTTAGCCAAGGCTGTCCAGGAAGGCATAATCTAAAAACTCCCAAAAGATGACCATCCATTTTTACTTTATAGCAACCCTGGGCTGTAATATATCTACAATAATTGTATCTATATATCTATCATAATAATATCTCTCTCTATATATATGTCTATGATATCTATATGTCTGTAACAATAATATCTACATGTCTATAATAATATCTATAGGACTATAATATCCATATCCATATGTCTATAATTATAATATCTGTCTGTCAATAATATCTATACATCTATTATAATAATACCAATATGCCTATAATATCTATATCTATAATATCTATATACACATATAACATCTATAATATCTATATGCCTATAATAATATCTACAGGTCTGTAATAATATCCATACATCTGTTGCTGGTTTTGCTCGAAATATATTTAATCAGTTTTTAATCAGTTTTATACTAATTTATGTAATGCTTTTCATACAAAATAAATAAATAACATCTATAATAATAATACCTATACGCCTTTAATAATATTTGTGTCTATAATAATATCTATATGCCTATAATAATATCTATACACCTGTTATAACAACAACAATAATAATACCTATATAATATCTTTGAACTGGGTTATATGGCAGTGTGGACTCAGGTAACCCAGGGCCCTTCCACACATCCATATAACCCTTTGGCCTCAAGGAGACTGAAATGGGCCTATATTAGGTTGGCACTTTGCCACTTCAGTTGTGTATTGATAGCTTTGAAACCAGCTCTTCCTCATTTCTTGCTTTTCCATTTCTCCACAATGCGCCACAGCAACGCGTGGCCGGGTACAGCTAGTTATTATTAAATGTGGGTTTTTATTCAGCTTTATGGAAGGGACCTGGGATCAGAACCTGGATCTTCAAGGCCTACATGGCCTATAGATCTTACTTTATGGCGGATAGATTGAATTTTTAATCTGCATTTCATTGGTTGCAGGCCGTGTTATTGCTCCCAAGAAGGCTCGTGTGATACAGCAGCAGAAACTGAAGAAGGTGAGCCATTTCCCATGCTAAGATGCAAACCTGAAGGGAGCGCTCCAAAGAGACTCCTTTTGGTAGCAACTAAGGCAGGGGTCTCCAATTTAAGGCTTGTGGGCCGGATGCAGCCCTCCAAGGTCCTTTACCCAGCCTTAAACTTTAGACTTAAGGTAAAGGTAAAGGTAGTCCCCTGACAAGTCCAGTCATGTCTGACTCTGGGGTGTGGTGCTCATCTCCATTTCTAAGCTGAAGAGCCGGCGTTGTCCGTAGACACCTCCAAGGTCATGTAGCCGGCATGACTGCATGGAGCGCCGTTACTTTCCCGCCGGAGCGGTACCTATTGATCTACTCACATTTGCATGTTTTCGAACTGCTAGGTTGGCAGAAACTTTAGACTTAGGATCCCCCAAAGTCTGAAATGACTTGGAGGCACACCACCACCACAACAACAACAACAACAATCCTAATTAATTTGACAAACTCATCTGCCCACATTTCCCACTGAATTACTGATAAGTTGATATTGGTTAAAATTGTTCTTCGTTTTGGATATTGTATTATTTCAGGGTTTTTTTAAACTACAGATTAGATATGTGCAGTGTGCATAGGAATTTATTTGTGTTTTTTTTTCAAACTATAGTCTGTCCCCTGCAACATTCAGAGGGACCATGTTTAAAAGGTTTGAGGACCTCTGAACTAAGGCTTACCCTTTTTGGACATTCATTGGCACATGTCCCCGTGGTGCAGGAATATTTTGGGCCAATATAAGGATAATATGCCAGCAGATTTCAGTCCCGGAGCCCTGTCACAGTAAACAAGAATAGCACCATTACTCTACTTTCACTGCCATGGTTCTATCCTATGGACTCCTGTGAGTGGCAGTTTGGGCAGTTCTCTGCCAGAAAGCTCCTCTCTAAACTACAAATCCCAGGATACCACAAGACGTAGGTATGGCAATTAAAGAGGAGTTACAGTATTATAACTGTGTAGCGTGAGAGGCACTCTGAACGGAGATCACCTGGCTCAATAGCTGTGCCCTTATAGTCTGGCTACTGCAAGTTGCAATTTTTTTACCCCGGAAAACATCACTGGACTGCAATGCCTAGCATTCCTCATCATTGGCCGTCTGCAAGGATGTTGCCCAGGGGACACCCGGATGTTTTACCATCCTTGTGGGAGGCTTCTCTCATAGCCCTGCATGAGGAGCTGGAGCTGACAGAGGGAGCTCAACCCAGGACACCCAGATGTTTTGATGTTTTACCATCCTTGTGGGAGGCTTCTCTCGTGTCCTTGCATGAGGAGCTGGAGCTAACAGAGGGAGCTCAGCAACTACAACTCCTAAATGTCAAGATTCTATTTTTCCCAAACTCCACATTTGGGCATATTGAGGATTCGTGTAGAGTTTGGTCCAGATTCATCATTGTTTGAGTCCACAGTGATCTCTGGATGTAGGTGAACTACAACTCCAAAACCAAAGGACACTGCCCACCAAACCCTTCCAGTATTTTCTGTTGGTCATGGGAGAACTGTGTGTAAAGTTTGGTTCAATTTCATTGGTGGTGGGGTTCAGAATGCTCTTGGATTTTATCCCAGCAACTACAACTCCCAAATGGCAAAATCAATTTTTTGAGTGAAGGACATACATTGGATTGTTAGGTGTCTTGTGTCCAAATTTGGTGTCAATTCCCCCAGTGGTTTTTGAGTTATGTTAATCCCACAAATGAACATTACATTTTTATTTATATAGACTAGCTGTACCCGCCACGCGTTGCTGTGGCCAACCTTACCTCCCTCTTTCTCTCCTTCTTTCCCTCCTTCCCTTTTCTTTTTTCCTTCTCTCCTTCTTTCTTTCTCTACCTCTTTCCTTCCTTTTCTCTTTCTTCTCTGCCTCTTTCTTTCCTTTATTTTTTGCTTCCATTCTTCCTTTTGTCTTTCTTTCCTTCCCTCCCTCTTTCTTTCTCTTCTTCCTTCACTTCCCCTTTCCTTCCTTTTCTTTCCTTCTCTCCTTCCTTCTTTCTCTACCCATTTCTTTTCATCCCTCTTCTTTTCCTCTTTCTCTCCTTTCTTCCTTCTCTACCTCTTTCCTTCCTTCCTTCGCTCTCTGCTTCTATGCTTCCCTCCTTCCTTCCCTCCTCCCTCTCCCTCCCCTCCCTCCCTCCTTCTTCCTTCCTTCCTTCCTTCCTTCCTTCCTTCCTTCCTTCTTTCTCCCTTCCCTCCCTCCCTCCCTCCCTCCCTCCCTCCCTCCCTCCCTCTTCCCTTTTTTCTGTATGTCATTTATCTTTTTGTCATTTATCTTTTGGGGGTTTTAAGTCCTTTCCACTGTTTTCTTTTGGGGGGGGGAAATTATGAGTGATTGACACTCATCGGTCCTTCCTTCCTTCCTTCCTTCCTTCCTTCCTTCCTTCCTTCCTTCCTTCCTTCCTTCCTCTTCCTTCCTCTTCCTTCTGCCTTCCTTCCTTATCTTTCCTCCTTCCTCCTTTACCCTTCCTTCCTCTCTTTCTATGCATTTGGGAAGGAAGCAGAAGAGAGCGAGACTGCAACCTCTCTTGATCCTTCCTTCCTTCCTCCTTCCTTCTTCCTTCCTTCCTTCCTTCCTTCCTTCCTTCCTTCTTTCTGTATGTCATTTATCTTTTTGTCATTTATCTTTTGGGGGTTTTGTTCTTTCCACTGTTTTTTTTTGGGGGGGGGGTGTTAGTCTTCTCGCACGCTGGAGAGAGGGCCATTTGTGCATTCTCTGTTAGGTATTTTTTTGGGGGGGGGGATATTAAAGTCATTTCCCCTTCATTTTTTTTTGTTTGGAAGACATAGATCCATTTGAAAACTGGATCCTCTCTGCTCACTTGTCCTTCCTCTCTTTCCACAGAATCTGGAAGTTGGAATCCGTAAGAAAATTGAGCATGATGTAGTCATGAAGGCCAGCGCAAAATTACCAAAGAAACTGAGTGTTCTGAAGACCCCAAAACCAGAAACCTCGAAGGACCAAGGTCACTCCAGCAAGTCATAGCTTGGTGGAGTCGGGGATGATGAGTCTCCACTTACGCTGGCTGTTATTGACTTTATCTATGGCAGTAATCTTGCGAGAAATGTCACGCATCTCCAGCGTGACATTTCAGTTGATCGGCTTAAAGAATTTCTTTCACAAGAGAAATACGTGAACAGCGTCTCGCCCTGTTCCTAGATTATAGTCACAGCTGTAGTTTTCAACTCTGACTTCCTAATGTACCGTGAGACCCCCATATCCTCATGGGATACGCTCCCAGCCAGACTACGGTTTCCTGAAACCACAGCTACAACAGAATGGCATTCATAGGCCCTTCTACACTGCTATATAATCCAAAGCAGGTAATCCTCATCTGCTTTGAACTGGATTATATGAGTCTACACTTCCATATCCAGTTCAAATCAGATAATCTGGATTTTATAAGGCAGTGTAGATGGGGCCATAGTGCCTGACTTCTGGTCCCAGAATACCATAGCTGTGTTGGAGCACCTAGAGATTCCTAGCTCAGGAATTTGTTAGGTCCTTCAATGCAACTTTATAGTAACTTTCATAGGAAACGTACTTTAATATCACCTAATTATTCCTTACTAGCTGTCCCCTGCCACGTGTTGCTGTGGCCCAGTCTGTTGATCTGGAAAATAAAGTAATGAGAAAGTGTTGGTTTCTAATATATGTAATGTCTTTATGCTTGTGGGTAAACAGTATTTCTTGCTGTTTCTTTGTCAGTGTTGATGTGGAGAGTGTCTGGTTTGCCCACCCTGGAACATGCAACATATCATCATCCTTCTTTGGGGGTTCCTTTCAAATCTATGATACTATACCTCTGTGTGAGTGTGAATCATATCTATCTATATCTATGGCTCGATGGCTCTTTGTCAGGAGGGCTTTGATTACGTTTTCTTGCCCTGGTGAAAAGAGTTGGACTGGATGGCCTTAAGTATTTTCTGTTGGTCAGGGGGTTCTGTGTGGGAAGTTTGCCCCAATTATCTCCTCCGTGGGGTTCAGAATGCTCTTTGATTGTAGGTGAACAATAAATCCCACCAACTACAACTCCCAAATATCAAGGTCTATTTTCCCCAAACTCCATCTGTGTTCATATTTGGGCAAATTGAATATTCGTGCCAAGTTTGGTCCAGATCCATCATAGTTTGAGTCCACTGTGCTCTCTGGTGAACTACAACTCCCAAACTCAAGGTCAATGCCCACCAAACCCTTTTAGTGTTTTATGCTTGTCATGGGAGTCCTGTGTGCCACATTTGGTTCAATTCCATCATTGGCGGAGTTCAGAATGCTCTTTGATTGTAGGTGAACTATAAATCCCAGCAACTACAACTCCCAAATGACAAAATCAATTTTTTTGAGTGATGGTCACTCCTTGGATTAGTAGGTGTCTTGTGGCCAAATTTGGCGGCAATCCGCCCAGTGGTTTTTAGTTCTGTGAATACCACAAACGAACATTACATTTTTATTTATATAGATGTGATGGATACGGTCCCTAGACTTCTCTGTGACAAGCTTTCATTATCATTCAGCGGCCCGAAAATTCAAAGGATTTCATAGACTAGAGTTATCTATCCAAGCTATCATTGAATAGCTTGGATAGATACATCTCAGAGTCTCCTTCTCTGGAGGTTTTTGAACAGAAACTGAACTGCCATCTGGTTGGAGTGCTTTCATTGGGTAGAAGGGGTTGGGCTGGATGGATCTTGGCATTTCTTCTAAGCCTGTGATTTTCTTATTTGAAGCCAGCCCGGATTGCTTTTGCCTCTGCCTCTGAACACACCACAGGAATGACAGCATAAGCAGACATAGCTTCCTTCTGTTTTCCAAGATCACTCCTCCCGTTTAGAAACCTCCTCACCTTTGACATTCCCCTCTGCAGAAGCCCTGATCAGATCAAATCCCACCAAGAAGAGGGCACATCTCTGGGGGCGAAAGGCTTTTGTTTCTTTTACATGAAAGGATAATCCTGTTTTGGAGCCATCAGGAAGAGGCCAGTTCTAGGAAGGGCTGGAATGATTAAAGTTAGGGAGAAGGAACCACTGAGCAAAAGAGACCAAACAGCTGCTTTCAAAGAAGTGGATGGATCACATTTGGAAAACACAATCCTTTAAAAACAACAACAAAGAAGCGCTCCCTCTGGTTTCTTTGCAAGACCAGGGTTTGGAACAGTAAAGGTTTTTGAATTATAGTTCTCAGAGACTTCTGCCTGTCTGATCACAGACCATTAAACATGAGATGTCACTCATATAAAACACAATACAAGGTTACACAACAGAAATAACCAAATGTAGCCCAGCAGTTATTAAAACATGAAAAATATAATGAACATTGTATAATTAACAGGAGAAAAAAACAGATTTTTTTATCTGAATTTTTTATCTGAATAATATTCTGAATAATATTCTCTCTCTCTCTCTTGGTCCCAATGGCTGAGGAGAAAGTCAGGAGAAGAGGTGACTTTTGGTGAAGACTTTTGGTCTTCAGGCACACCTCCGGACCCAAAGCGGGCCTAGCAAAGCTTGGTAGCAGAGAAAAGAAACTGCAATGATTTCTATTTTGCATTTATTAGTATCTGATAAACCAATTGTTGACCACAAGATCATGCAGGGATTTTATATAAGAGACTAGCTGTCCCCTGCCATGCTTTGCTGTGGCCCACATGGGGGTTCTGTGTGGGAGGTTTGGTCCAATTTTATTGGTGGGTTCAGAATGCTCTGTGATTGTGGGTGAACTATAAGTCCCAGCAACTACAACTCCCAAATGTCAAGATTCTATTTTCCCCAAACTCCACCAGTGTCCACATTTTGGCATATTGAGTATTCTTGTAGAGTTTGGTCCAGATCCATCATTGTTTGAGTCTACAGCGATCTCTGGATGTAGGTGAACTACAACTCCAGAACCAAAGGACACTGCCCACCAAACCCTTCCAGTGTTTTCTGTTGGTCATGGGAGAACTGTGTGCCAAGTTTGGTTCAATTACATCGTTGGTGGGGGTTAGAGTGCTCTTTGATTGTAGGTGAACTATAAATCCCAGCAACTACAACTCCCAAATGACAAATTCATTTTTTTTAGTGAAGGACATACATTGGGTTGTTAGGTGTCTTGTGTCCAAATTTGGTGTCAATTCGTCCAGTGGTTTTTGAGTTCTGTTAATCCCACAAACAAACATTACATTTTTATTTATATAGATGTGATAATATGTCTTATTTGAATTTAAAGTCTATTTTACTCCCAAAGGTGTGTCAAAAGGATTTGCCTTATTATTATTATTATTATTATTATTATTATTATTATTATTATTATTATTATATCTGTATAACACCCTTCTCAGTCCTTAGGCAACTCAGGGCCGTTCACAATGGCAACGTTTTGATGCCCAAAAATATCATAAAACATTTAAAAACATTAACACATAATATAAAACCATAACAAGAATACTAAAAGCATACATCATTTGCATCTCCTAATAATAGTAATAATAATAATAATAATAATAATAATAATAATAATAAACTTTATTTGTACCCCGCCACCATCTCCCCAAAGGGGACTCTGAGCGGCTTACATGGGGCCAAGCCCAAACAAAAATTACAATATAACAATATAAATTGCAATCAAATAAACAACATAACAGTAAAATATAAAACATCAAAGCATATAAAACAATATGCACAAAACATAGGAACTAAGCATAATGACAGAGAAAGAGCAGGCCGCATGTACATAAAATTATTTTAAAACTCCAGGTGAGATAAGGGGGGAGAACTAATTGTAAGGGCGAACTCATAGAGAGATAGGAAATTAAGCCAATAAAAACATTGTCCCATCTCATTGTCCAGTCGTTCCAATTCCTATGTTTTTTACCTTGCGTTTTCAAATGCTTGACAAACAACCAAGTCTTGATGCTCTTCCGAAATGTTAAGAGGGAGGGGGCCGATCTAATGTCCCTAGGAAGGGTGTTCCATAGCCAAGGGGCCACCACTGAGAAGACCCTGTCTCATCCCCACCAAACGTGTTTATGACACAGGCAGGATCGAGAGCAGGGCCTCCCCGGATGATCTTGAAGTCCTAGCAGGTTCATAAGGGAAGATGCGTTCAGACAGGTAAGTTGGGCCAGAACCATTTAGGGCTTTATAGGCTAAAGCCAGCACTTTGAATTGTGCCTGGTAGCAAACTGGCAGCAAGTGAGGCTGATGTAGCAGAGGAGTTGTATGCTCCCTGAGCATCGCTCCTGTTAGTAATCTGGCTGCCATCCGTTGAACCAACTGAAGCTTCCGGACAGTCTTCAAAGGTAACCCCAAGTAGAGCGCGTTGCAGTAGTCTATACGGGATATAACCAGAGCGTGGACTACTGTGGCCAAGTCAGACTTCCCAAGATATGGGTGCAGCTGGCGAACAAGTTTTAACTGTGCAAATGCTCCCTTGGTCACCGCCGAAACCTGGGTTCCAGGCTCAGCGATGAGTCCAGGATCACACCCAAACTGCGAACTTGTGTCTTCAGGGGGATCCTATCCCCTGTTTGGCCTTATGACTGACAAGAAGTACCTCTGTCTTGTCTGGATTCAATTTCAATTTGTTTGCCCTCATCCAGACTGTCACAGTGGCCAAAAACAGCCTCCTTAGTAGCAGGTGGGAAGGAGTGACAGAGTTGGACGTCATCTGCGTACAGGTGACACCACACCCGGAAACTCCGGATGATCTCCCCCAGCAGCTTCATGTCGATGTTAAACAACACGGGAGACAGTATTGAACCCTGAGGAACCCCACAAGACAATGGTTGTGGGGTTGAACAGGTGTCTCCCAGTAACACCTTCTGGGTACGACCTTCCAGGAAGCACTGGAGCCACTGTAAAACAATACCTCCAATGCCCATTCCCACGAGGTGTCCCAGCAGGATACCATGGTTGATGGTATCGAAGGCCGCTGACAGGTCCAGCAGAACCAACAGGGACACACTGCCCCTGTTTAGCTCCCGCCATCGATCATTCACTAAGGCGACCAAGACTGTCTTGGTACCATGTCCCGGTCTAAAGCCAGACTTCACCAAATCCAGATAATCCGTGTCTTCCAAGAATACCTGGAGTTGTGAGGCCACCACACGTTCCAGGACTTTGCCCAAGAAGGGGAGATTGGAAACAGGCCGATAGTTTACAAATTGAGTGAGGTCCAGTGGTAGTTTTTTCAACAGCAGTTTTATTATAGCTTGATATTCTGGGATATAGGGCTGTGTGGATGTTCCCTTGTTCTCAAAAAAAGTTAGATAACTAGTTGCTGGGGATACTCAGGTTGGATTTGCTACATTAAGCAGGGGTTTGAATTCAATGGCCCTTAAGGCCCCTTCCAACTAAGATAACACTATGTAACAAAATTTGAAAGATTTTATGTTCCTGGTTTGAAAGTGTTATTTCCTGTTTAATTATATCCCAGAATATCAAGGCAGAAAATCCCACATTATCTGAGTGTAGATTCACATAAGACAGTTCAAAGCAGATATTGTGGGATCTTCTGCCTTGGTATTCTGGGATATAGGGCTGTGTGGAAGGGCCCTTAGTTTGAAGCAGATATTGTGCATTAATGTGTTTGTTTGTTTGTTTTTAATGCAATACTGTTTTGGTTTGCTCCTGACACGATAAATAAATAAAATGTATTGTCAAAGGCTTTCATG